GTCGAATGTGGACAGATGTTAGGGAGTCGGTAGTGTAGCGCGGTAATGAGGGGAGATGCCTTAATATACAGGATGTTTTTGTAACAAAATTACTAAAAAAATCAGTAATGCTGGGGTTTTTACAGTCATAACTCTGGTATAAAATATAATTTGTAATTTGAAACAACAGTGTGAATTTTTAAAAATAAATTCATCTTATTAATATTATAAATTTGAAAGTTTAGATGGATGGACTTTTGTTAGAAGGTTTCTTCAGAATGGCTGAACAGATATCTATGAAATTTGGCATACATATAGAACATAGTCTTTAAAAACACATAGGCTACCAATTAAGTTTTTATTAACTTCGCAGACGAAGTCGCAGGCGACAGCTAGTTATATGAATAGATTGAATGTCAAATAATTTTGTCTTAAATTTTCTATTGATTTTTTTAAGTCAAAATGTCTAGAAAAATTTTATATGATAAATGATGTCTGGTGTTAAAATGAGTGTTAATGTGTAACCGAATTCCATCGTTTCTTATGCTAATTGATTTCTTACAACTCTTGCTGTGCTTATTCAAGTGCTGCCGTTCTGGTTACGCAAATGTAGAGTTCATATATCACGTAATTATTACGGACATGTTCAAACTAAGCCTAGCTTTGAGTACTCGACTTTATAGGAATAGTAGCTGCCGCCCGCGACTCCGTCAGTGCGGAATTTAAAAAAAAACTAATAAGTAGCCTATATGTTCTTCAGGATTATTTACTACATGTATGACAAATTTTATCAAAATCCGTTGAACCGTTCCGAAGATACATTCAAATAAACATCCATCCATCCATTATATTTATAATATTAAGCAAAAAGTGAGGTAATAAGGACCTAGTCGACGTAAACAGTTACATCTTTTGAGAGATTTAATGTTCAAATTTTGCTACTAATAGTGTCCTGATTTTAAGTTTTCTTAATATGGTCATTATAATTTATAACAATAACAAATAGTGTGTGATACATGTATGTAAGTGGAACGAAATGTTTTCCATTGTCATTGGTATTACGATATTAATTAACTATTAAAAGGAAAAATAATAAAAAAATAAAGAAAAAAGAAAGCGTCAAACCGTCAAGCAAACAATTTATTTATTATATAAAGTGTCAATACTGATTGGAATTTTTTTTGTAGAATAAATCATCCTGTATACATTTCGTATTGCACAACAATAATTTGAGTTCAGGGGCGCTAAACCGGTGTGCCCTTATCGCAGGGTCGCCGCTACGAGCTGGTAACACCTGGCCGTTACCATAGAGATCCAATCACTACAATGATGACACGAGTGTGTGAACATGATTGTGTGAAACATAACGGTTTTCTTTTTTTTTCTATTTCAATTTAAAATCTGTCACAGCTTTTTTGAATTTCTATTAAATTTGTAGGAACTAAAGGTATTTAATTAAGGCAGCTTGTAAAGTAATTCAAGAGCCAATAATTAAGATAAAAAGTAAATCGGAATTATTTTAGCATTGTAGAGTTATTGTAGATTTTGACATATTTTTTATTCTTTATTTCAAGTGATAACGTCTCTTTATACTTAGTTAAAAAGTAATTATCTATCATCAAAAAAAAAATGTAATTTATCGTGTCAAAATCAATAAAATTGCGTTTTTTTCACGGCTCACGGCGATGCATAGAGCAAAGGGCGCGTGCCGTACTGCCAAGCCGAGCGTGGCGTATGGCAGACGAGCAGATGACACGCGACCGTTACGCCAGCTGCACCTCGAACCGCATAACTGACGCGGTCGTGTCAAAATTATCACAAAAAAAGTTTGCTTCCTATTACTTCATAAATTATGAAACGTACTTGTAATAAGAAAAATCGTTTACTCGCTATATCTTTTTAAATGATAAACAAAGTATACCACAAATTATTTTGCACGGTAGGCGTAATGCATAAAAATTATATTTTAAAGTTAAAAAATGACATGGATCAGCTAAATATGTCGCTGTTTTGATTAAATTTTGACAATTTTAGATATGGCGGGAAAGTATTTATTCTTTTTTTGACAAATGAACTTATAAGTTCAATTAACGTTTCTGTTTCTTATTAAATAAAACAAACATATAGAAGGTTCGAGAAACATGGATAAAAAATATCGATTGTTGCCAATGAAGCGTATCTGAAAGTACCAGGCGTTCAGAAAGTAAAGGAAGTACACGCAAGGGCGCGCCTATCTCACACGAAGGTCAAAGACTTGTTGCGTTGATAACATTTGTAGACTACTTGCGTTGATATCAAATTTGTTCATACTTTGTCTTTATGCTGTCCTAGTACTCAGTAGCTAAATATGTAAAACATGTAACATCGCGTCGTTTACAAAAAGATGGCGGAGTTTTCATTATACAGTTGTGTAAGTGCAGGATTCAATTTTGTTTACATTTTCAACGTAAAAATAAATAATTAAGGGAAAAAACAAGTTCTTAGCTGACATTTTGGGCTTGTTTCACAATTTCCAATAAAGTATTAGTAGAAATTTTTAACTTTCAATCTAGTAAAAGTTACTATGAAACAAATTCCATTTAATAATTGAAAAGTAAAACATAAATAAACAATAAGTAAATATTCGTTATCCCGCAGCCCCTATGATATGTAAAACGGACATACAGACACACCTTTTCCTTAATATATTATGAACTTTTGTTTCAATGTGAAACAAATTCAATTCCTTTTGTTAAGAAAAAATTAAGGTTATAGTGTGTCTATTTAAGATAGATTAGTTTGACTATTTAATTGTCATTTCACTAGATATGGGTTAAGTAAAATAGATTAAGAATTTTTTCGATTTTCGATGGTTGTTCTCATAGAACTTGCAATCGAAAATTTCGTGATTATTAATTTTGAATTACAATATCAAAAAATTTTGTCTTTCTTTTCCTACTTTATGCTTCCCAACGACATAAACGTTAGGTTAGGAGACGGTCAAATTTAACACATTGCGTGCCATCCTTAATTTCGTTCCAGTGCTTAGAAATGCTTCTATTGGAATAAAATTAAGGTGAACTAATCGCGAGTGCGGCAGTGAACGTTTGATCAAAATGTCAATAAAATCTGAATAATATAATAATTGCAATTTATTGGTGTTTTTTGGTTATTAAACATATAATTAATCATCAGCATAATATTCAAATTCATGACAAAAGCCATTAGCTTTAGCTTCAATGTTCAGACCTGGATAAAGCTAGAAACTCAGGTAGAGAGGAAACTTGTATAAACGAGAAATATATCGCTCTCCCATGAACTCTCGCCTATCCAGTTCTGTTTGCGACGTCATCAAAATACTTAAAGGTTTGAGAAAGAGGTTTTGTTTACCGTTACAAAGATGATAACAGTAATTGACCGTGATAGAAATTTTACGTGATTTAATTTAGATCGATAATAGCGTTTGTTGACGCGTAAAAAAGAAAGTTTGCTTCCAACTGTGATACGTATCTGTTATTTCTTTGGGACAAAGTTCAAAAACGGAAAATAAGTAATCTATACGTATTAATAAAATTCGTTGTCTGTGTGTGTAATATTGATTTATTTTTAATTTTTGTAAGTCTGTCAGGAGGAAGCTGATGCTGGGCATATTATAGAGATCGCAAATATTTCTGAAATTCTGCGCTGGCGTTTGCTAGTGATGATACCAAGTTGTAGAGTCATACAACAGTCAGGTAAATCCTAACCTCAAAACTGCGTTAATAAATATTGCCATCTCTTTCATACTCTTTGATAAAACAGAGACAACAATGTATTAACATAAACACTGCACTCGAAAACCAAAGTAAGGTTCAATAATGAGACATATATTTCTTCAGAGCACTTTGCTAATGACTAATAACCACCTGCCTACCCTTATTCATTAGAACAAAGCCGCAATAGTTCTATACTACGAGGTCAAGTTGTGCTAAATGTCGCTAATAGATCTGAACACACCGCTAATGTGTCATTGTCTTACCAGGAGTGTCCAATGACAAAAGATCTTTAGAAAAATATTGCTATCTCTTTTCTTTTCAAATAGAATGAAAAGGATGACAATATGTTTTGTTTTAGTTGCATTAAGTTACATCAGGGATTTCAATCCCGTCTTTTACCAACGCAACAAAAATTGTAACCTATTTTTTTTAAAGGCTTCACTTCATACATACGGTCATTTAGTATGTATAGGTGTAGGTATGGATGGGTAATTTACACAATGACTAATATTAAAATTAGTTGTAACATGTTAACTATGTCAGAGTACTGACTCATAAAAGCACTGAACGAGATTAATACAAAAGATGTCCATTATTCTAGATATATTAAAAGTAAGAAAAATAATGAAATTATTTAAGATGTCATATTTTAGTGCACTTTAGGAATAATATTTATGTAGAAAAATTAAAACGAGGGGAGTCAAAATCACTGCCGATTCATAAACTCTGAATGGGTTTGCACTCACAATAGATTCTGCAACGGTTTTTAACATCTGCTTACTGTTGCTATGTTATAATAATAATCAGCATTGTATGTGTTAAGGGTCATTGCTTGCTTACTTAGAGAATATAAATAATCTCCTTCTTAAAATATTTGTAATCCGATTAGTTTTAATGTAAAGAAAGACGTAGAAAGAAATGAATCTTTCTATGCATCTCTCATTTAGTCACATAAAAGTCAAGATGCCTTTTAGTATTTGATTCTGTGTGATTTTTATACTTTTATAGAACTCGTTGATTACTTTAAAACGGCTCTCTAACACTTGAACGTTCAATTTTATGCGAGATACAAATTCCCATGACTATCACACGAAAAGTTGAATCAAAACAATAATCCAAATACTTTGGATTCAAGGTAATACAAATGGTCACGCTCAGCCGCACCTCCTATACTAAAGTTATTGTAATGACCCAAGACATTACGTCATTTGGATAGCAATCATTAACACCGTCGCTACAAACATTCCCACGAATAATTCACTTAATACCTGATTGTTTTCTTTACAGGATGTCGAATTTTCAACGTACACGCAGCAAAGTATGGTGGGGTGACACACCACCGAACATTGGAAGCCCAGTTGCGCCGCAACCTGCGTGGAACCAGAACAATAGGAGAGAAGAACAAGACTGGGAACCTCAGCTACCGCATTGGATAGCTAACCAACCAGAACAGAGAAACAATAGCGCTGATAATATAGCAGAACCTAATAATGCGCAAATTAATCAGTGGCCACTTCGTCATGGTAGCCCCGGCAGTCATAAGAGCCAAGACTCTGGCTTTTCAGATTCCGACAGCTCTCCACCAACCTTACAATACTACCCACCTACAGATAACAGTAATTCCACGGTAAAATCATTAAACAGCAGTGATTCCAACAACAATGAAGATGTTACCGTGAAACATGCTATCGATTTACAAAACACAGAACATAGCAGAGATGTTGTTGACAATTCCATATCGTCAAACAATATCAGTAATGAAGCGCCAACTCCGAAGCCAAGATTACGAAGTAGCAGTGTTATACAAACTCCATACGATTTACAAAAGTACTACGAAGTACACACAGACGAGGAACATATGGATTTGTTAAAGGATAACGACAAAGAAAACGATAAAAGCGAACCAAAGTATCCAGCTCCGACAAATATTAATAAAAATTATGAAAAAGACAATTCGAAAAAGATAATCGATAAAGCAATAGGACCGAAGTTAAATAAAGTAGAAAGTAAGAGAGTTAATAACGTAAATCCTACTAACAAGAAACGTACAATCCAAAAAGATACCAAAGAACCAAGTAATAATGTAAATATAATAAGTCCGTCGAAAAAATATCCAGTGAAGAAAACATTTGTTTCAAGTACTAATAGTGATAACTCTAATATCATTAAAGTAGCCAAAGTCAAGGACTTAGAAACTAGCAAGAACAAATCAGATGAAAGTTTAGAATATATAAAATTATCTCATGACAATGAAATTGCAGTAAACAATCAACCGAGAGTCCGAACACCCATCTCCAATGTTTCTTATGTACCAACAGAAAGAATAGCAACAGTTAAACCTGAATATAAAAGAAGTAATTCAAACGAAGAACCCATTTGTACTACGCCGAAATTCCAAAGAAATAGACTTAATCAATCCTTAAACTTTGAAGCTCAGAGACTCGATCAACAGATATTGGACATCCAAGGTGGTTATCACTCACTAGGATACATAGATGAAGAAATACCTAAAGATATACAAAACCAAACAGAGTTAATACACAAACCGACCAAAGCTTTATTAGGTAAAAACATTATGGACAGTCTTCATTTAAAACCGAATAAAAAAGTAGGTCCAAAAGCAAAACAGAGAATGGTAAAAACTGAAAGAGCGAAAGATATATTTAGAATATTTCCCACTAAGAAAGAAAAACCAGGAGTAGTTGACAGTCACGCTGGGGGAGTTTTGAATGGAAGCAGAGTCCCTTCACTGGGTCTACCGAGATCTGCTGAACAAAATTCTTGGGTCATCGTCGGTCATCCAGAGAAGGAATTACTAATACCACATTATACTGAAAGACTGGTTGCTACAGAAAGTGATATTAACTTGAAATCAAAAGACAACGAAGAGGAAATTAATTACGTAAAAACTAGAAGGGTAACTCCACCACCACAGTTCAGAGACAAACAGAAAATACCTTACGATTCCGACACAAAATCTGATAAAGATTTAACACACGATTCTAAAAGAGAGAAATTAAAATATGACATAGATTTTACAGATTTACAATTAAACTTCGCTTGTACTTCGACACCAAAAATGATAGCACCACACGAGTTTTTGAATAATCCTCAAACACCGAAAAGCAATAAGAAAAATTCTTGTAGAGTTAATTTGATAGGTGATTTTAATGGCGGGTAAGATTTTTCTCTTATTTTAATTTACACAAAATACTGACAACATTTAAATAAAATAAATACAAACTTGATACCTTCACGCGTTCCTGAGAAAAGAGTCTTGACGGACAGACGGACGGACAACAAAGTAGTCCTATAAGGCTTCCATTTTTTTCCTTTCAAGATACGGAACCCAAAAAACACATTACAATATCAGCCACATTTACCGTCGGTTTCTGACATCAAAATCTCTGTATAAAACATATCGTCATCCCTGTCATTATCTTTAACAAAACAAAGATATATTTGAAACGGGGATTATGATCTCAGTAAACCACAATTACAAACTTTCCTTGGTTACCAAAGCAATAAAGCAAGAAATGAGAACGAATCAACGTCCGTCTGAATATGTCAATTACTCTCCAAAAATTAGTCAAATTAAGTAAAGTAAGTTTTGAAAAATCACTTTTTACTTTCAGCTTGGTTTTAAACAATCAAAACGAGATATTATATAGAGAAAGAAGTATAGATCAAACCACACTAGAAAGGTTATGTGATCGTAAACCGGAACCGGTGCAGTATTGGTTATGCGATTTAATTAGTTCTTATGAGAACGAATGTATGACTACATTACAAAGCAAACCTTTAGGCACTGAAATGAAAGCACTAGTATCTGCCAGTTCCGCTACTATTACTGGGAATATAAAGAAAGTGCAGACACACGGACAGATCATAGTACATCAATATAGTGATATTATACGGTATGTTACCTTCCCTTATCCCTACGGGGGTCGACATAGTATGTACAACTGTTTAATATATCTCTATCGCCCATCATATTCATTCCCTTATGCATATTCTCTTTCCCACAATCCATCCACACTTCGGCCTTTCTTTACCTATGTAGCCATCCACATTCTTCTTTTAAAAGTTTCTTATTTATTTGATTATCTCTCCCCGTATATGCTTTCCGCCTTTTCGGGTGATGGTTGGCGAGTGGCATAGCTTCCTTTTTCTACGAGGAATTCACACATATCTTTGTAATTTATTTGCTGATATGTGCATGCATCACGATATTTTCCTTTACCTTAAGAACTTCTAATAAATGTACATATGTCAATCGAAAAACATATTGGTACATGATATGATTCGAACCCGAGACCTTCAGATTACAAGTCAAGTGCTACCACCTGAGCCACCGATGCTCTCATGCTTATATCTCTATTTTTAATTAAAAAATAATTCCAGGCAAATAGAATCAAATGATACAGGAGAAGAACAAATATGTCTTCTTGTTGCAAACATAAATGAATTCGTGCTAGCACATAGTATCACATTGAACACCAAGCCACCGGGAGAAACACCCGAGAGATGGGACAAGATTAAAATATCGTTACAAATGTATCTACAAAAACTAATTGATATCGGTGAAGATGTCAAATTAGAATTAAATGAGAGTAACCCGCAATGGAACCTGGTACAGAAACATCTCGACACACTAATTGGTATATTCTTAGAGACGACAAAGGCTGTGCTGGTACAACAAATGAAGGTATGTTTAATCTTACTAATATTATAAATGCGAATGTTTAGATGAATGTATATTTGAAGATATCTCCGGAATAGCTTAACTGATTTTGAATAAATTTGGCGTAAATGTAGAACATAATCTGGAGGGACACATAGTCATCATCATCATCAGCTCACTATACGTCCCCACCGAGGGGCTCGGAGCCTACTCTAAGTTAAGGGTGATTAGGCCATAGTCAACCACCAACCAGTTGGTTGACTTCACACATATCTTTGAATTACTTCTCAGATATGTGCAGGTTGCATCACGATGTTTTCCTTCACCGTAAGAACGTCGGATAAATGTACATATGTAAATCGGAAATGGAAAAACACATTGGTACATGGCGGGATTCGAACCCAGGACCTGCAGATTGCAAGTGCTTGACCCCTGAGCCACCGACGCTCTGACACATAGGGACACATAGATTACTTCTTAATTCTGTGCAGACGGAGTCGGACAGCTAGTGAATTTATAATTATGAAACTAAATTCTTTATAATGTAACCAAATTTAAAATTATAATTGGCAACAGAAACAAATTAACATCTTCAAGGAGTTGTTAAATTTAGGTCTAACTGACAAAGCTAAAAGGTTTTAAAAAAACGAACCGACTTTAGTAGATTTTAGAACTTTAAATAATTAGGGTTACTTTAAATAATCTTGACGACTCTGAACATCGTACGAGTCGCAGACATAGAGCGACCAAGATATTTGAATAGAAGTATACCTATTAATAAGTTTTACGTGAATATTTGTTAGTTGATGCATAAAGACTGATGACTAAACGAAGATTTAATAACTTTTTAAATTATAGATTAATAGAAAATTGATTGATGCTTGGAAAAACTCCGGATAAACGATAAAATCAACTTTTCCTCGTCTCTCTATATATGTTTTAGTTAGAATGATGCGTGACTGAACATCCTCTATTTAAGAAAGTGGAAATTACCCATTACGGCCTTTAGTACTTACGTCTAGTTTTCTAACACGACTAGGTTATAAAAATAATCTCTATAGCTATTTATATGATAGAAGTAAATATTTACTAATCTCACTAATATAAATGCGAATGTTTAGATGGATGGATGTCTGTTTGAAGGTATCATCAGAACGGCTGAACGGATCTCGATGAAATTTGGCATAGACGTAGAACACAGGCTTCTAATTAAGTTTTTTTTTAATACCGCGCGGACGCAGTCACGAGCGACAGCTGGTGTGAGTTTTAAAACAAATAAAGAGTAGATAAGAAGTCCAAAACTAATAATTAAAAGCCAAGGACATACAAAGATTGATTTACATTTTAATATGCACTAAAATATATATTTGAAATTCCAGACCTTAGTGTCAATAATCGAAGAACCACCATCAGATATGATTCTCAAAAGTACACTGACATCTATCGGCCATCTTGCGATGTTAAGTGAAAATACGGAAAGTTCGTTACATGAGAAATGTTCCAAAATCATGAAGAGCATTACAGAATTACCTTTCGTGGACTGCGGAGTGCCGAGAGCTTTACTTACAGCTATTATTGAAAGCAACAAGAGTTCTATAAAGGCGTTATCATTACGCGCCCTCGCCACTGTATGTGTTACTGGGGAAGCTGTCAAACAATTTGAAGAGGTAAGATTAATGTTTTTAACATCGCTTTTTCTTTACCCACAGCAGACAAAATACAATCGCTTCGAAGTTTGCTATGTAATCGACAAAGTAAACTTCAAAATGTATGGAACTGATGCACGATCACGTGACATATCGTAAGTTATTGTCTGTTCTATACAGTGAAGTTCGTTATGGAATCGCTTCTGAGTGTCACTTTGTCTAACCCCCCAGTTCTCTTGCCTTTGTCACTTTGTATTCATTTGGTACCTTAAATCTTACTAATATTATAAATGCGAATGCTTGGATGGGTGTGTGTTAGAAGGTATCTTCAAGACTGTATCTGTACACTAGAAAGCCTGAAACACAGACTACTAATTTAGTTTTTTTATTTCCGCCCTGAATCACCTCAGAAACGAGTTGACCGATTCTCATGAAATTTTGTGAGTATATTGAGTAGGACTGAGATTTGACCAACATCTATTTTTAATCCCGCGCGGACAGAGTCGCGGGCGTCAGCTAGTATACATATAAATATAACAATATCCCTACTTATACAAATGCTTCTTTTATTACATTTACCTTTGGAAAACACCAAAAACTAAGTATAAAAATGATTATGTATATTTTATTAAAAAAAATTGTTACATTCTAGGGTGGCGGTATAGAAATCTTGTCAGATATTCTCTCAGACCGCTCGAACCCTGAACCTCAGATGCGGGAAGGTATCACTGTGCTCACACAGATCACTGCGCCCTGGCTCAGAGGTCATTATGACCTCACACAGCTCCATCTCTACCTCAACTCCATAGTTGATAATATTACTGGTGAGTTTGTAAACTGTAAAATACTTAGAACAGCACATCGTGGATTTCTGAACCCAAAAACCTCGTTTTCAACGTGTTATTTCCGTTTTGTCAAAGATAAAATAAAAATATATATATTTTTTTTATTTAACAATTTTATTTCATTTTATAACATGTTTTATATACATTTAAATGATATTTTGATTTTAGAAACCCATGTTTTAAAATTCTTACCCTATCGTCAGTTTCCTGAGACAAAGAAAGTTGTCATTCACTTTTTCAATCTAACGCCATCTAGCGAAATTTTGTGTTCACTATTTAAATTTTTATGTCTGTGGTCTTTGGTTAGGAGCGTAAGTTTTGTTGTTAATTTATCTTAATTTACAGGTATCCTCTCACGGACTGACTGTTGTCAACTCCTTTTACTTTGCACGGCGTGTCTCGTCAATCTGGTTCGTGAATTAGAACTGGAGAAGAAATCTGACGAAGGAACAAACTCTGACATTGTTGAAGTGATCACCAGACATAGAACTATCGAGAAAGTCTTAGATGCTTTAAAACGTAGAGGACCTAACACATCTGTCTTCCTACAGGTAAACTAGGAAAAGATTAGTTTTAGATTTAAAAAAATCTTAATTAGTAGCCTACGTGTTCTTCCAGACTATGTTCTACATCTATGCCAAATTTCATCAAGATCCAAGCTGTTCTGGAGATACCTTTTAACAAACATCCATCCATCTACATACACAACATATATTCAAACGTTCACAATTTTGACGAGAGCCTTCATATTTAGTATCACTCCATTTTGTGATAATTTTAAAAAAAATGATATATACCAAAGTAATTTTATTTTTATACAATTTATTTCTATTAACAATGATGTTTATATTAAGGAGCAAACAGCGTCACTAATCTCGTCGTTGTCCCGCGTGTCACGCTGCGTGCTGCCGCTGTCACGCTCGGCGGCAGTGAGCGCGGCGCTGGTGTGGTTCGCGCGCACTTCCCCGTCACTCGCGCCCGCGCCGCGCGCCGCCGAGCTGCGTGCTCAGGCCAGAGTGCATTGTCACGCTGCTGAAGCTATCGCCAGGTTAGTATTGTCACGCTGCTGAAGCTATCGCCAAGTTAGTATTGTCACGCTGCGTGCTACAATGTCTCCCAACTAGTAGCTCACTATATTTCAACTTGAGTTATTCCGTTATTGTTCTACAATGATCTTGTAGCAGACGGAAAATATGTGAACTAACAATGTCATTTTGACTGCGTCATATTTTGACCAATGATAGCTTGACAGCTGCATAGTCTAATGTTGCCATTTTCATAATTTCAAAATTCCAAAAAAATATTTATGTCATGACATGAAGATTAATCTGCTAATGTGTTTGGATGTATCAATTTAATTAGCAAGAAATTACTACGAGAGCTTAATCAGTCGTCAGTGAAATCAATAAGTGCCAATAGCTTAACGGTTAAAGTCGATCGAGAGTTTGAATTCCGCGATTCGACTATTATCGTAAACCATATCCCAGCACAAGCATAGAACTGAGTTGGAATATTACATGAAATATTAGTTATTTTACAAAAATATGGATTTTTGGAGCTTATTATTTATGATACTTATTTGTTTGTAGAATTCGAATATTTGTGACGTTTTTATTTAATTTCCAGATTGACGGTGATACCAGAAGTGGCCCAACAGATGGTACAATTGGAATGCGTTCCTCATCTTATCCGTTTGGTTAGGATGCAAAGATCGCGTCCGCCTTTAGATACAAATCCAGATCAGACCCTCATACACTGCCTTAAAGCTTTGAGGACAATATACAAACACTATCCCGAAGCTTTTGAAGATAAGAAAGATGTTGAAGAAATGATTCGACCACATTTAATGGAGTCATTAATGCTTTTTTCCGCTAAACAAGAAAGTTATGTTTAACACTTTCAATGCCAACTTCATTAATTCACTCTACATACGTTGTGACATTTAAAGTGTTTGACATAAATCAAGTATAATTACAATACGTGAACAAAAACATGAGAATTGAGTGTGATGACGTCACTGTTGTAGCTTTCTTGTTCATATATAAATAAAGGCGTAATAAGCCGGCAACGCATCTGCGGTTCCTCTGGTATTGCTGATGTCCATGGGCGTCGTTGAACACCTCGGTGTTCCCGCTGCTCGTTTGCCCCCCTTCTAATATATAAAAAATATGATATAGGAATAAAATTCTCAACATAAGTCTTATGTTATTGTTAACGCATTGTAAATTTTTACAGGGTCATGAAATTTGATTTTTCAAGTTAATAGAATAGATATAATTTCGTGAATAAAATCTGATTTTAAAAATTTACTTCCCAAACATAAAATACATATGACAAATGAAATTATTTCATGCATTCCACTTATTGACATTGTACTGACGTAAAACGAAACATCATCTGTCTCTGTCGTTATAAAGACAAAAATAGAGACAACAATATGTTTATGAAACCTATAAAAGTTAAAATTGCTAAGTACTTTTGTAAATAAAGACATTGTATAATTTTATATAACAATATTCATGATATTACTTTTGTAAGATATCAGAGGCCATAAACGAATATTAGCTAGTCCTCATACTTTTTATATTTAAGTTGGATGAAATATGTAATTTCCAATAAATTATGATGATATTCATAGAAATTAAGGTATACTCTACATTGCTACAACAGTAATTATTTTGGTAAACAACTTCGAAAAACGTATTTGGGTTACTATTCAAAAAAAAATTATTTTGTATGGCATGGCAAAGAGTCCTTTGAGCCAAAATAGCAAATAAAGTTTAGGTTATTATTTTATAAACCAATAGACTCAGTATTGCCATGTTATATTTAAATGCTCATTATTATTTTATCTGTAACATTGTGTCAATATTTGTATTCATAAAAACACATACAAGACAAAAGTTAGGTTTTTTCATTTATTATTAAATACAGACTATGATACAGTGTTACTTTTCTTTTATTTTAAAACATTGAAACCACCTCTACTTATAAAAAAATAAGACGTTTAATATTTGTATATAAAATGTGTCTTTATTGTTAATTTTGTATATACAATAAAGTATTATATTCCAAATAAATGAACTTTTATTTCTTGAATTTTTATCTCTGTTGTCTCTTTTCATTTCAAAGAAAATAAGAGAGATGACCTAGTTTTTAAACTATTGTTTTGATAGTGAAAAGTCACACTTATTTATAAACTAGCGGCTACGCGAAATTAAATGAAACTTAATTAGTAGTCTATGTGTTCCTCCGGACTATGTTCTAAATCTATGCCAAATTTCAGCGAGATCCGTAAAGCCGTTCTGGAGATAACTTCAATCAAACATCAATCTATCCAAACATTCGCATTTATAATATTAACAAGTAAGATGAGAAAGTATATAAAGTTTAATTATTAAATAATCCATTTAATTAAGATGTCACAACTTTAATAAAACTGCCGGTCTTATAAAAAAATATTTTATATAATACATTTAACCTTAAAATTATTCTATCACATAAGATTTTTAAAATCAATAAGATTGTTTGACATGTTTCGAATGAACTATATCAACGGTAGTTTCATGACAATGTCTCAGATCCAAATCGTAAACACCTAAACAGAATTTGTTTTCTGGAGGTTTGAAATAATCTAGCCCCCTTCCAATTTTTATTATCCACCCGGAACTCAATCTAAAATAAAAATTTTAATTATTAAGAATAGTTTTCACTTAAAAATAGTCACTTTAAGTATCTTCGTAACTTTCTGAAGCAAACAAAATAAAAATTAATTACGAATTGGCAAATTAAGTTACAATTAGGCATTACAACTAAATGTTGGTCTCTGAGATCAAAAACTCTGCATAAAACATATTAGAGTCCCTAAAAACTTAAGCAAATTAGAGATAGCAATATGTTTTAAACAGAGATTTTGGTCTCTGTAACCCACAGCACCAACCTGCACTGAGCCAGCATGGTTGACTATGGCTTAGTCATCTGTAAGGTTAGGTTCCGAGTTCCTCAATGCGGATACATAGTAAGCTGATGATGAACCCACAGTAACTAGAGAAATATTTATAAAATAGATTCATACTTACATGATTTGTCTGTCGTGCAATGTATCTGAATAATTAACAACAAAATATACTTCATATCTTGTTAAGTCATTTCTCAATTCCGTAAACCATTTTGTCTGAGATCCCTCAGATTTATTATCTTTTGTAGTTACAAGTTCAATTCGCCTTAAATTACTGCAAGACTTTACGAGTAGTTCTGATAGTCTTAAGAAATTTTGACACTGTAACAGAGGTATTCAATAAATCTTACTAATATGATAAATGTGAATATTTGGATGGATCAATGTTTGTTTGAAGGTATCTCCAGAATGGCGGAATGGGTCTAGATGAAATTTGGTATGGATGTATAGCATAGTCTGGAAGAACACATAGGTTAATTATATGCTGGTACTTTAAACCATTTTTATGATTATTTCTTCTATTGTTCACTGACATAACATTGTTTCAAATTAATATATAACTTTTCTTACATAAATAAGACCCCAAATTACGGAGGTTCGACTGTCGTAAATTCTATACTATAGAATCTACAAAAATTAAAAAAAAAAGCACATACACATGACACTTATCATATAAAAACATAAAATGTAATAAATTTATGATGAATCAGAATTAATTTATGTCCCTGTTGTATAAATACATTGTTATCTATTTAAATGAAGACACTTAAGAATAACAAAATGTTTGTCAACATGTATATCAACAATGAAAATGCAGAATGACTACAAACCTGATGAAAACTTCTTATATAAGGATCTTCGACTATAACATAATGAACATCTTCGTCAAGGAATCTACCAAATAGTGTTTTATAACTATGGCCAGTTGAATTATTTTCTATCCGAACTTGTTCATGGAATTGACCACTTTCTTTCTGTTTTAAAACCAACTTTTTAATTGTTTCAGCTCTATTCATATATTCTTCTATTTTTACTTTTAAATATTTCTTAACATCATCATCACATTCACCTGTAATTTAAAAAAAAGGTCTTATTAAGGCAATATAACGTCTTTGTTCAACTTTCTGGTTAACATTTGATAGTAAAAAGTACTTTGTGTTTTCAGAGACTTACCTTTCATCTTGTCCACTAAAATTTGTAAACCTTCTTGATAACATACTAAAGCTTCTGTATAACGTTTTTTTGTATCAAATTCTACGCCTCGCTTGAGGATGTTTATAGCTGTACTATCGATGTTCATTTTAAGTTTTAGCTTGCAAGCATAAACTGCAAATGATCACCTAAATATCTACACAAGCATTATAAACATAAAGAACTACAAATTAACGTGTTTAAACACCAAAATTAAACAAACTGATAAAGCACTTAATACAATAAGTAAACAATTTTGTAATAAATAATTATAATGATTAATGACAAATGATTAAACTTATTGTTTTGATCGCGAAACTTTGTTTGACAGTTAGCTACTTATACAACAATGTCCAGGTTGCCATCGATGATTTCCAATTTACCTGACAAAAAAAAATTAAAAAATAATAAAACATTATTTTGAAGTGTTGGAAAAATTTACAGCCCTACTTTATCACTCTATTACAGCAAATGCAAACTTTAGGTCTGTTTAAAATTACCCGAAATCGAAGAAACTTGCAAAAAAATTTTGTATCTAGTAACAATATAATAGTAAAGGTTTAAAAATCCCCGAGAAAAAGACTCATGTATTAATCAAAGAGTATATAAAATATTAATAAGGTCAAAGTACACAGCTTATATTTGTGTCGGTCTATCACTCACCGCGACCAAGGTCCACCCAAGTCCATCACGACTTGTTGGGGCTACAGTTTTATGAGGTTCTGTCACAATTTTTCTTATTTTTTCTGATTATTTGTTCTGCTACCCAATCCGCTAAACCTTGAACTACCATTACAAATCGCTACTCATACTACATACTATCAGCGTCAAAATCAAGTAGTCATAAAATACGTTAAGGCCGGTCCATTTAGAGGTCAGTGATAAAACCACGTTTCTTGGTTTTGTTTTATTTCGTAGTTTTTATTAGTTTAATAATATTTTTAATCGAGACATTTTTAAAACAATAATAAATATTTTTTTTATCTTTAAAATTTTGTCTTTGTTAAAAATTCTTTTGATTTTACTTTTGTTGTATACAAATAATTGTAAAGTAATAATAATCAACAATTTAATATATAATGTATGTTTATTTTATTTTTTATTTACATTTTCCCGAATTTCGGTCATTTTTTCATGTTACTGGTATACTTTTGCGTCACACACCTTTTGACATTTCGAAAATGATCTTACTTTTAAATGTCAAACTTGTATGAAACACTCTCATGTCTTTAGGTATACGTATGATAAACACAATTAATAATTGAAAAACAATTGAATGATTTAAAAGGCACAAATGGTATTATATTACAAACAATTATTATAAAACAGAACTATCTAATTCATTTTGAATTGCTTCAAATTGTATGAACATTGTATACAGGTCTGAATGAGTTAATTCCATGTCTTGTTCTGTTTTATCATTTGACAGTGATAAATAAGCCTTTGGTATCTTGCATTTCTTTTGAATATCAGAACTTAATTCTGTGTTTAATTTCCATGAAAATGTTTGTTTGTTACCATCTTTATCCATCGAGTTACAAACTAAATCATTCAATGTAGAACTTACTTCCGATGACCATAACTTGACTATAAATTTTGCCTTTTCTGTCTTAAAACCAATATTGATTAGATCTTTATGTAAATTAACGGGCATAAATATAAATTTTAAAAGTCTTTTATGTAAATATATTAATGTCTTGATTGCTATCATTAATGTATCTTCATCAACTTTAAATATTACTTGTAATTTCTTCTTCTCTTCCTCTGTGAAAATTTCAATTTCTTGCAACCTTAATTTCGTTCCAATTCTTTTTAAAAATGGTTCAAATTTTGAATCCTCTAATGAGTTTAGGATCTGGATTCCTTTTTGTACACTGAAATGTTAAAAAAATAAGTTAAATTAAACATTAGGAAGCTGTAACCAATAAGTATCGCCTTTTGTTTTAAATAAACTAACTTCTGTGTCACTTTGAGCCATTTGCAATTCATTTTAAGTAATTATAAGAGATAATAATTAGATTGTTATATTGTTTTGATTTCGTTTGTGTTTGACATTATTTTGAAGTTGCCAAGTTCGCTATTTAATTTTAGCATTTTTATTTTTTTATAACAACACTGACTTTAAGAACAAAGCAGTTTTATACTCTGAAGTTATCAGTGGCGACTCTAAATCTATCGCCAGGGGGATTAAAATCAAACATCTATAAAAACAACGACATAATTATAATCTGTCCTTTCATCTTAACCTATGACATGATAATCACAGACATTTTTGATCCAAATAAGTTATGTCCTAAAGGTGTAGGTTACCAGGTCATAAAATTAAAAATAAAAGACATTTCTGACATGTTTTGATTTTTGACAGCTTTGTTAATGTGAATATAAAATAGTCTAAAAATAATTGATATAATAATTTATATAAGTTATAATGTCTTCTCTTAAAGGTTGGAGATACACAGTCTTCATTGGGGGATTTGTTGGTTTAATAGGACTTGCATTATATCCCATAGCAGTAAGCCCTATGATGGATGCATCAGAATACAGTAGGTACATTTTAAAAACAGTTGCCCATTTAATTAAAAAAATAAAATTTTTATATTTATGAAAGTATTGTAATTCTTTTTAGAAAAGATCCAGAAGGAAACTAGGAAAAATATTAAAATAGAAGAAGTGCAACCAGGAAGTAAGTACAATTATGGCGTTCAACATTCAGTAATCAATAAATGCTAGTGAAAAATAATATCGTTTCAATTACTATCTTTGTACTGGGTTGTAATGCAAAAGTATAAAAGGCTATATACTGTGGTGGTATTACATTACTTATTGAATTCTTGCAAAAACAGTGGTTGTAATCAACTATACCTCTTTCTCAAAGACAGGCATCACATATGCAGTTCCTTTTGTGTTAAAGACGTCCATTGATGAGCACTTTGGTGTTCCCACCAACCATTAGCCCCTTTTTTTATAATTGACCAATTGGTCCAAACAGAATTCTGTTGCCTATACTTATCTTGCTGGTGACAATATTTTGACAGTATATAAAATTTTTTAAGTTTATTAGTTATTCTTTATTTTGATTTGTATTGAAACATTTTTTTTTTCAGATATGAATGTATGGTCAGATCCATTTGGACGAAAGAAAGCGGATAGTGAATAAAGAATATGATTTGTTTATGTACATAACTTTAATTTATAAAATAGTTATTAGTTTCAAATAAATATAATTTATAGAAGCTTTTTATTTGACTAGAATAATTTATATACTGTTCTTTATAGGTTATTAAAAACACATTTTTATATAAAAGATTTTTATTGTGAAAATTGCAAATAAAATATATGGGCACTCCACACCCTAATGCCTATACAAAACAGTGGAGTTCAACCTTGTCACAATTTTCTTTATATAAAAAAATAATCCTAAATTTCGTATTTACATTTAATATGTGCTTTGTAGCCAAAATTTAATATCTCTTATGTATTCAAATGTAAGCAGACATATATTGCTAATTATCTAATGTCAATATAAAAACTATATGTAATTCATATTTACATAATTACACATACATATATCAGATTTGTCTTCATGTATGTAGATAATACGATACTTTTATTGTACATACAGAAATCTTAATTATATTCTCTCGGCTCATCCCACTAAAACTTTAACAAAAAATATATATATACCTTAAAATGTTACAGACATTTAACTCCTTAATTTCTACTGTGAGATTAAATTAAACTAATGGGTTAAAATTTTTAAAAGTGAATAAAAGATATATTAAAAATAGCTTCATGCATTTCTCCGCATTAACTTTTAAGTCTTTTTTATTCGTTCATGTAATATTTTTAAAAATGTTAATAAAGTTTTCATCTCACATATTAATTTAATGATTTACCTTCAACCAATTATATACTAATATTGACCAAATGCATAATGGTACTTTATTGTTGAAACTTATAAACAATTTTTTTAAATGATATATAAACACGGCTAAACACTCACGTATATTAGTCCGGTGGCGGCACCGACTAGTTTCGAGCCCATCGGGGGGCCCTTCTTCACGATGAGTGGTACTGGTATTAGACCGCGGACGAATATATGTGAGTGTTTAGCCGTGTTTATATATCAGTTTAGTATAATGTCTCACGAAAGTTTGAATAAATTTTAGAAATTCCCACAACAATGATTCATAGAAAAAGTAAATTGCACAATATAGCCATATTGCCTATCACAAAATGCTGATATATCTATATGAAACGCATCACATATGTACATTGCGCGTAATATCTATAATTTAGATAAATATAATAATTACTATTTGACTGAACTCCATTCATCTCTTGCATTAACCCGTCAGTATGTAATTCGTCCATTACTCTTATATATTGTAATAACCTATAATTTTATTAGTACTTTTAAAAATATGAAAGATTGTGTCTACAAGTCTCTGAAGTCGACTACACATCTTAAGTTTTAATGAACTGTTGGACAGTTAAAAATGAAGGTATGCAGTTGACTTTATAATTAAAAGAACAAGTACGCAGAATTTAAAAATAACTCACCTTTAATTTACACTTCAAGTATTCATTTTAATAGTTTCCACAAAACAGAAACAATTTGTGAATGTCAATATGTTTAAAATAAAATCTAACCTCAAAATCTAAATGGAAATATTATGTACACAAAAACGACAATCGATAATAAATCACAAAAATCGATATCAAAATGACATTTGATATCGATATTTGTACGCCATAAAAATTTTACGTAATAAAATGCCGCTTACTCGCTCTTTCAAACATATAATTTTAAATTGTTTCTTGCCGACTGCTTTCTTAAAAACTACCAATTTTCACTTCAATATCCTAAACAGCACAAACACTAGCATTATAAGCTCATATAAAAGAATTTTAATCTTAGCTTCGTTTTTTTTTATTTGTTTTAATCTGTGGCAACAGATAATGTAATTTTAGTGCCGTTTTACTGGGTATTTTGTAGAACATTCGAATAGTTTGATATTTATTTTGAACACCGAGATTTTACAATATTGTTCATAGAATGTTATTTAAATCGTACTGTTGCTACATGTTACCATCTCTGTCATTTTTATAATGAAATGTGAGGAAACAATATTTTTATATGTTTTGGCTAAAACTGACAGTTTATATTTAAAAATGGAATTACTAAGATATTTGAGTTTGGTTACTATTTGAGAGAATTTGTTACTGAGTTTTTTGAGTTTAGTTACTAATTGAGATCGTAAAGCGTACGTGGTTCTGATTTTTTTTAATATGGTATATATTATTCAGTATTGCTCGTTATATTATTTTAAATTTCAATTACATTATATACTTTATTATGTAAATAAACTGTCACATGTTACCAAAAAAATCAGCTCTATACATTTTAAATCTAACTAAAATTAATCAATAATAACTATTTTATGAAATAGAATACTAAACCGAAACATTGACAAAACAATTGCAGAATTATCTTTAACTTATCAAACCTTGTATATATCTTGGAATATAAAATGTATTTTAAAATTAACTTAGATTCAGATATTATGTGGTATTTTTATATTAACTACGATTTAAAAGTGTTATAAAGCCATTTCACGTGCAAAAATAATAAGATATTGTGGATTTTGCTACTACTCAAAGGGATTTTCAATTAACACGTTCCGTGTCGCCTTTTTTTTAAAATAAAGAAGCCTGCTAGTCGGCAGTGGACGTGTTAAGTCTACTAATTATGGAAAAGAGATTTTTTTTAGTGGGTTAAGTAAAGATGGTGTATACAATTTATATTTAAAAGAAGAAAATCGATATTACATTGATGTAGGTGTTTAAAAAATGTGGCAACATTTAAATAATTTTTTGAGTGACTATTTTAATTTAATTACATTTTTAGAATAATTAATTTTAAAATCGTTAATAATATTGTGCATTTTTCGTAAACAGACAATAAATACTTTCTTAATTATTTAGAGATTTTCGCATTCGTTTTAAAATTTTATTAAAAATTATTTTTTGACCCTGCACATCTTTAATCCTTATTTATCAATGGCAACATTTTTGCGCAGTAGCAAAATACCACAGATTATATCACACATTTAGCACGATAGTAAAAAAGTTTCATCAAACGAGGCTTTATGTTGACTTGCAAATTTGTCAAATCATAGCTTACGCGATAACATTTCTTAGTCCAAACTTTAAGTAATTTACGTTAATATCAATGCAGGAACTCATCATCGTCGCCAACCTGAAATTTTAAAATATTCTTAAATTAAAAATTTACCTTTATTATAATCAATATATCTCTAGAACTGCTTAATATATCATTAAAAAAATAATAACTTAAACTTACCTGCAAAAAATATTCAAAATCGTTTCGATGGCAGTTACCTTCAGCTGAAAACGTGAACTTATGAAAAGTTCCGTCTTCACATATCACTGAAATAGACAAAAGAATTTATATATTTACTGCAATTTGCTAAGTAACTATTTATAAGATACAAGTAAAGTTTCATGTGCATGTGTTAGGTTATGTGCACATGTTAGGTTATGTGCATATGTTATGTGCACATGTAAGGTTTTGTGTATGTGTTAGGCTATGTGCAGGTGTATATACTGACCGACGGCGGTGCGGTCGTCGCTGAGTGCGCAGAGCGCGCGGTGCGGGGGCGCGGCGGCGCAGCACAGATGTCGAGCGGAGCCGCGCGTCGCCCACACGTGCAGCGTGCCCTTGTCCGACACGCAGCACACCAGCGACGCATCCCCGTTGAAACTTATACTGAAAAACATAAAAACAATTCATTTAACATGATAATTTGCTGTTTTATACGTAAATATAGCTGTCATCTACTACGTCCGCGTGGAATTAATAAAACTTAATCAGTAGCCTATGTGTTATTCCGGGCTATTTTCTATATCTCTGTCAAATTTTAGCGAGATCCTTTCAGTCGTTCCGAAGATACCTTCAAACATCCATCTATCATATGGTCATTGAAGCTATACAGTTTTAGTATAATATGGAAGTCATAATCTATTAGATTACTTTGAAATTATGAGCTTGGATATGGCTGCGCGTATTTCAAACAAATATTTTACGAGATAGATTAAGATGTGTAAAGAGTTTCACCAGTAAACATCCGCGTAATCGGAGCCGCGTCTCAGTTCGTGCAGCATTTGCTTTGTGGTGGTGTCCCAGAGGCGGATGATGGTGCCGCGGCGTGAGGCGGTGGCCAGCCGGCAGCCGCTCGCCGCCACGCTCAGGCAGGCCACCTCTGACTGGTGGCAGCTCACTACTGCTGGCGAGCTTGACTGCGCGCCCTTCACTGCGCGAGACACGTCCTACAATACAACATGACGTAAAGTTTTTATAGGAGAAAAATTCGCACTTAGTTCATCTAATTGTAAGGTATCAAATTAGTTATGGTCTTTGACAAGAGAAGGATACAGGATGGGAACTTCTGTCTATCTCCCTCTCTTTTTCTCTCTACGTTACCGTGTTAGACTAAACGTGCTTTTTAAACATATATAAAACATATGTTAGGTGACCGTTTTGTAGATATATAACAAGGCAATCGTGAATTTGTCTGTATTTTCTGTGCACAGAGAATAATTCCATACTTTTCGATCAATACATCTACGTCTTTACTTAATATCCGCATTAGATAGCTACACATAAATATGCTTCGAGATTGCAAAAATGACTTTATAACTTTAAAATATATATAATATTACTAGTAGTTGAAGTGAGCCTTTGCGGTGCGCGGGCGCGGCGAGTATCTGCAGCGCGTTGGGATCGCTGGCCAGCGCGCAGAGCGGGCGAGCTGCGGGCGCGGCGGGCGGCGTGCGCAGTAGAGCCACGCGCTGCAGGCTCGGCAACGACAACACTTGCACGCTACACGACAGAACTACTGCCACTCTAAAAATAATTCAATTTGTATGTAAATCTTCCCTCATCATAGTCTCTTCAGCTTTATTCTATTCACGTAAGGTCTGCGGCACTAGGTTTAAAAAACTTTTATTTTTTGGCATTTTACGGCCGGCCGCCGCCTTGTTGTTAACACAATTTGGAAGATAAATTAAAACACTACGCTAAGGAAACTTACGGTTGAGTTGAGGAAGTTTTTTACCGCGTCTTATTTTGGATTTAGACTACAAATGATTTTAAAATTAGGATTGAAATCACGTAGTACCTACCTATATTAAAGGAATCAATGCGATCGGATTGTTAACTAGTTTACAGATAGATTACTTTTTTCAGGTGAGAATTTAGTTTTAGTAATAAAAATTAAAATCCATTCATTAGTTTTTAAGTCAATAAATATATTAAATAGTAATAAACATTACAAACAGATGTGCAATATAGAGTTTGTTATATAATTTCACATCTCCCAAGGTTTTAATACAAGGATGTCTTATCAATATTAGTAACGCGATAGAAATAACGCGCATATTATTTACCCTACGTTATACGTTACCGACTTATCGCTATTTGAATAGATATACGCAATTTAATAATTTAAAACTAGATATCTACTTCTTATTTGAATAGAATATAAAAGAAAGAATTGTCGTTGGTCTCTGAGACCAAAAACCCCGTAAAAACATATTGTTATCTCTGTTTTATCAAAGATAATGACAGGGATGACGATATGTTTTCTACAAGAATTTTAGTGTTAGAAACTATTAATATGATAATCAAATTCGCAGTGATTTTATTTAATGAAAAATAAACCTTGGAAAGCAAACTTGTATTACGTATTCGATTTATTTTTATTTATTCACTAAAATAGGGTAAAGTAAAATGTGCTTTAATTCGTTAGTAATAAAATTAGTTTTTGTATAATTTGATATAAATTTGTAGACGTAGGTTAGTTAAAAACACCGAATGACTTTTAATGAGTTTGTAAAGTAAATGTGTGATTTAAATTACAAATCCTTTTGAATAAATCGTTTAATATGTATTAAAGTAATTAAATCTAACAATTTTATTTTCAAGCCCGCTGACCGTTTTAAAAAATGTTTGAATTTCAGTACAATTTTTTTTTATATTAATTGTCTGCACTTTTTAGAGTATTTTCCATTAAGGTAAATGAAAAAAGTCCACCACAGAAACCAAACCACAGAACAACAATCGTCCCAATGTGTCTTCGCATCCTTATAGAAGCTAAAACAACGGCTTTGTATCCAAAAAATAGAATTCACCTCTATGGTCGGTGCGACGCATAGAATCGGTACAATCTTCTATAAATGGACTGGCTACAAGATGAAATATTTTGTGCCATGTTGATTATCGCCCTTTGGGCGTTGATGATAGCATAGCATAGCGGTAGTGTGGATTCGAAGTAATAATATAGATAGAATTAATTGTCAAGTAACATCAAAAGGCGCGTTTAAATCGGAACGAATGAAAGGCTGTAATTTAAAAGCAATCGCGTATTCAATAATAAAGATGCTCGGTGATTAACAATTTGATAAAGTACAAAAATGGCTGCAATACATCAAATTGTCTTTGTCTTGATGATAATACAACAGTTAAATCTAAATGCAACGTGCATTCAAAATCGATATAAGCAAATTCATGAAACAATAGCTTCCTTTTGTAATTCCGTGTCAGTCGGTTAAGGTCATAACAATCTTATCGAATTGTAGCGACGTTTACTTTGTCCATATCTGCCTTATATATTATATAGTATATTTAAATTAAGACCTATCTTTACTATAAACCGTTCCGAAGTACATAATGGGACAGTGAGTTAGGCGGGATTTAAACCCTCGACCATGTGACCGTACCTTTAACGATTAGGCTACTAACTCTTAGATTGTACTCGTAGTTACACAAGTCTGGAATATCATTTTTTGATGTTTACTTACTTGTCTTTTCTCGCCCTAAGCGCTCGTATGGGAGATTTGAAGGTGACTTCTGCGCTAAACGCGCGGCGCTGGTCGTCAAGCAGCAACAGGCAGCAGGGCCGGCGCGCGCGCACCACTAGCAGCCAGTTCGTGCGGAACACCATCTCGCAGAGTGACACCTCGCCGAGCTCCTCTTTGCCTGATACAAATATCTATAATAGAGCATCGGTGGCGCAGTGGTTGAGCACCTAACTTGTAATATATAGCTCCGACTTCGAAACCTTTTGTTTGGATTTTAGACTCAAATTTACCTTCAACGCTATAACGGTGAGACATCTTTATGAACCTGAATATATCGGAGAAGATTTTTAAAGATGTAAACGTACTGGGCCAATGTTGTTGACCACTTAGTCATCCAAACATAGGGTCATTGGATTTTAAATTCGAGTGTAGATTAGATCGTTATATTGCAAGTTGCATAATTGATATATAAAAAGTTAATTAAAACTTCTAAAGTTGCGGCGAACAGAAAGTTAAGTTACGATTAAGTATTTCAACTTAGTATTAAGTGTTAAAGAGAGCGGCGAGACATAGCGGGCATTCACCTGAGCGCTTGTAAACAAAGGTCGATCCCCTATGTCACGTATGAAATTGTTTTTTTTTCAAGCAATACAAGACATATGCATTAGCATGCTCTAATAAACTTTATTTTTAAAACTTTTTACCAATAACCGTATCTCTGTACCGTAACGGGGTAAAAGCAATAAGTATTTTATCGAACGAGAAAAGGGACGTTCACCTTACATATACGATACAATCCAAAATATTATACAACACTAAATTATATAAAAAAATCATGTAAATACTTTCATATCTTACTTGTTGCAACTTTATTTTAATCCTGCTCGGCTCCTAACAGTCATAGCGTGATTATATTCCCTATAACCTTGCTAAATAATTGAACTATGAAACGCAAAAAGTCTCAATCAAATACAATTGGTAGTTCTTCAGATTAGTGCTTTCAAACACAGTATATCATACAGGGTGCTACATATTTTATACAAATGTCGATGACGTTACGAAAATGTTCTAACCAATATTAAAAAAAAAAATTCTTTATTGAGCAAAAAAACATTTTCACAAAAATTTTGTGGGCTCTGTCTCCTGAACTAGTAAATACTGTGTTTCAGGAGACAGCACCTTCTCTTATCTATTGCCTAAAGTTTATACAGATTCTTAACATATATGTAATTAAATATAGATTTAGATTATATACTAGATAATATACTATGGCCTAGTCACCCGTAACTTAGGGTAGGCTCCGAGCCCCTCAGTGAGGACGTGTAGTGAGCTGATGATGAATATACTAGACCCTCAGATATTTGACTACAGTTCTAAAGCTTGTCGTAGCATACTATAACTGTTATAATTACACTGTATAAGTAATCATGAGTAGGAAGCAAAAAAAAATTACTATACTTACTGTAATGTGCCTTCTCAACAAGTGGGTCCACATTGTAAACGCGTAGGCCGGATGTTAGGCAGCAAGTGAAGCAGCCTGTATAAGACAAACGTCAAACAAATTAGATAAATATGTAAAAGATAATAAGGTTGACCACCTAAGCACTATTCCTACCAATTATATTGGGACACAAATCACAACTGCCTTGAGAAATGTCATGGAGCCAATCGCCTCTGGAATGGAGGCGATTGGTTGATGCATATAAAGGCATATCCAGACTTTCAGTGTTGAAGTAAATAAAGAAAAATGTATTAGAAAAGAAGATAAATACAATGCAATCAATGACATCTTATCTTATATATAAAATTCTCGTGTCACAATTTTCGTTCCCATACACCTTCGAAACGGCTTGACCGATTCTCATGAAATTTTGTGAGCATATTGAGTAGGTCTGTGAATCGGCCAACATCTATTTTTAATCCCGCTCGGACTGAGTCGCGGGCGACAGCTAGTTAATATTATAAATGCAAATGTTTAGACGGATGGATGGATATTTGTTTGAAGGTAGCGCCAGAACAACTGAACAGATCTCAAAGAAATCTGGCATACATATAGAACATATTCTGGAAGAACGCATAGGCTACTAAAAATTTTTTTATTCCACACTGACGGAGTTTTGGTCGACAGCTATTATAGAATAAGTGTAAGATATTGTTTATGTATCAAGAAATCAAGAGCACAGAAAAGGGAATGTTGAATGTCGGAAAAGACCATCTTTTTTTAATTACAATGATAAAAATATGTGAAACTAAATGTATCATATAATTAAAGATAAATCTGGTGAATCTATGTAACCGTGAGTTTGCATTACCAAACTGATTTAAACAAAAACATATACTTATCTCTCTTATTCTATTTGTAAAAAACAGAGAAAGCAATGCTTTTGTACAAGTGTTTTGGTGGAAAGTTACCTTAACAATTGATTAATCTTAGATTATTAACTTTTAGTGAATATTAAGATAAAGGTAATTAATTTTTGATTTAATGATTACTTTGTCTTAAAATTGAATTCATATTCATTATGACAATGTGTATTATTTTTTTAATAAACTTGACAATCATTAATGTTATAATTCCTATAAAACTATAAACTTTTAATAGAATTAAAAATAGTAGTTAGTACCTAGGGTCATATAAACATGGTGATACACTGAAAAATGTAAAAACATTGTTAGTAATTATGAAATTTAGAAGTTTGTCTGTCTTTAAACATATAACTTTGAGGAAGAATATTAGTATTTAGAATTTTAGTTCAAAATAAAATTAAAATATATTTTGATAAACATTCACTTTTAACTAATATAGAAAATTACTTTCACAATTTAATTGAAATAGCATTAAAATTAATTAAATTTCTTATGGTCAGTAATATATATTTCTTTGTAAATTTAATATAAACTGCATAATGGCGCTGTAATTTTATTGCGTATTTAATAAACAATAACAATAGCGTTAAATATCCAAGAGAGAAAGCATGCAAACAATAGCAAGCTAGATGGCAGAGTGAACGAAAACATTGCGTGGGTGTGCAGTGCACCTAAATATATAAACAACACGTGGAGTCGTGACGATCGAAAAGCGTGGCGGGTTGAAATTTAAACGCCAAAGAATTCTACACGCATCCTTCACTTACTTTGATATCCATCGATACAGACGCTTAGGTCATCAAAATCATGAATAATATACAACACTAACAACACGAGAACAAAGAACGCGGGTTGTCGAACTAGGAAGTAACTCAAACCTTGGTCCTGGCTAAACCCCAGGCTCGTGATACCGCTGCTTCTCCGACGCGCCATGTCTCTTCCAACGTGAATTTATCATAAACATTTAGTTGTTTTTTTATCAATTGTCTCAGTGGACATTTTCACACCGATAATTTAAATACGCACATTTGTTGTGTTACATGTTCCCAGTGTGTGATACACAGCTGATTTGATGACTGATTTGATGACAGCAAAACATGCCAGTGTTGCCATTACAATCATACGTTCATAAACTTTTTAATTCCTCGTGCAGTTTTTAAACGTAAAATAAATATAAAAATATTTTCTTTGATTTAAATAGATACAGTGATAGAATTATTGAATAATTTAAGATAGTAATTTTCTACAACTTATAAAATGATTACCTTACAATGGGACCTTACCTTAGAAATTGAAGAATGTAATAAATTACAGAATTAATTGTAGAAATATCTCATATTTATAAGCGGTTTATGCACTTTGTAAAAATCGCTTACACAAGTTTTTTTTTTATTTTTATTAAAAAAAAACGTAACAAGGTATTTTTCGTACAGGTAATATAACAATATTACGCAAGTACTGACTGACTGAAACGAAATTTTAACAGAAATCAAAACAAACGACAAAAATTCAAAACTTCAAAATGTTTTTATCTTCTCTCTTTGAAGAAATTTTGTTACAGATCAAATTTTTGGCTTCAAAAGCAGTTCTAAATTATGTAGGGTGTCAAATTGCAAAAGTAGTAATAATAAATCTCAAAAATATTAAAGTGATATCATAAATATTGTAAGTAGTGTATTTTATTTTTTTAATTCTTTGGTATCATTTTAAATAACTTATTAAGATTTCGATTTATTTTTAGATTAGCAATGGATTCTTTCAACTCCACTACAAGTGCTGATTTTAACTGGCCATTTCCGAAACCTATAATAGGAAAGTTAGTATTTCACATGACAATAATAAAAACTATAAAGTTCTTTTATTATAATATATTGATAAACTTTTCAGTACTATAAGTTTTAGTTAAATAGTTTTAATTATAATAGGTACTTATTAATTTAAGTCTATGTTAACTTCGCTTATTTTAAGTGACCAACTTTGCATGTAATAACTGCTAAACTAGCAACATTTTCATTGAAATTAATAAAAATAATATATTTTTAGACCATGTGAGCCTCCAACTCCAAATGCCCCGCCGAGGACACGACCGGCGCCAGTGGCGCCATATTGCCACTGCGACGCACATTCGTACTCGCCTCGAGTTGAGCAGTACAAACAATTACTGGACAAAGAACAGAAGCTATGTCATGACTATGAACAACTAAGGCAGCAGGTTTGTAAAAACTATCTACAGATTTAAACGTGAATCACATCATGGAAATATAAAAAAATGTGCAAAAACGCGCGTCTAAATTTCTTGTAAATTAATACTTTACTTTATAAGTTATAATATTACTATCTGTAGCCCGCGACTCCGTCCGCGTGGAATTAAAAAAAACCTTAAGGAGAAGCCTATGTGTTTTTTCAGGCTATGTTCTATATCTATGCCAAATTTCAGCCAGATTCATGAAGTCGTTCCGGAGATACCTTCAAAGATCCATTCATCCATGTAAACATTGGCATTTATAATATTAGTAAAATTAGTAAGATTATAAGTAACGCCAAATAGCTCCCTTTTAAATTTATTTGATGTTTTCAAAGCAGTTGCCAAATAATCTGCGAATTGTAAACAAATTCTTCAATGTTTGCGTAATTGTTAAATTTGGAAATGTAAAAATATTTTGTCGAACTGTTAAACTGTAGATGGTGAGCGTGACCAATGATATATTGGACCATCCTTGCGATGACCTGGACAGCAAAATGGAGACAATGTATCAAGCAACATACAAAAAAAGATGTAAGCTTTAAAACCATAATATTTCAGACAGTAATTCCATATGAATTTCGAGTTAAAGTTATAACCAATCTTTTTGTAATGATTTACAATGGATATTCTTTTTTTTTAATGGTTATATGTTTCTATCCAGCCTTTCCAGTCGCGGAATACACAAAAGTAATGGCTGCAACACAGTCCAACGCGCCTATCCCTATGGAGAGTCATAGATTAGGCATGCTCAGATGCTACAAAGATCCAACCCACTTTTCCGAGCCGCCTCCAACCGTCAGACCGACCATAGAGCCGCCTAGTCCAGTACACACCGGTGTCGCACCAAAGACAATGAGAATATGGTTCGGGGAATTCCCCGGTAGAACTGAATATATGGACGAATTTAGTGCAACATCAAAAGCTAATTGGCGATCTATGCAGAGATACAAAGAACCTTTGCCTTCAACTAGACGAAGGGCCGATGACAGATGTGTATAATCTGTATTGTGGTCTTGTACGTTCCATTTTTTTATGGATATTTGTTCATTATTTTTCATCGAAATACTTAATCTGAAAGGCCATTTAATCAGCATTAACAGCGAGAGATTTTTTATATATTGGTCACTTTTTAAGCATTTTGGTGGCTTATTTAACAATGCCTTTATCTTTAACCTCTTTAAAAAGTAATGTTTTGTCTGATGTATCGTAAGTTTAAAAAAATGCAACGCTATTAAAAAAATTGTAAAACAAAAAAATTAGCACATGTGTGCAACTATAAAAAAAGAAAAAAAATGTTTCAAACTTTAAAAATGGAATTATTCAAAATATCAATAAAATAGCAAGATATTTATTAGCTTTGCATTTTTTACTAATTATAAATTCGTAACCATTCTTATTAAAAAAAGTATGAAGAACAAAGAGTAAAATACATGAGTAATTTCTTTAAAGGGGAAGATAAAAATTAGTTTTATTTGTCTCTAATACCTATAATTCCAATTACTAAGCATGCAAAATCATTAGTTTCAACAAACTAACCTAACCTAAACAGCTTTTTTTGGTTTTGATATGTTTTTAGCAGTGGAAATTGGCTGTAAGATAGTCTCGAAAACTCAACAATCCAAAAATATTTGAGAATAAAATACAGGACAAAAACTGTAACAGCTTTTTTCAGTATTTAATATATATTTATTCAAATTTAGTTTTGTTGACTGCAACTTTGTTGTCCGGCTTCGATAAGCAATGGTATAGACGGAAATAAACGTCCTCCAAACGTAAAAAGTAACTAATAATTAAACAACAATTTATATAATTTATTTATCATAAAATAAGTAGATTTTTATGTGTATACCGTGACACAAACTCTTAATCCATTTGTAGATGTCCTAGTCCGATTGAGAACTTGGGCGTTTTTAAATCCGTCTATCAATGTTGTAAGCTATCTCCAAATGACCTAATTTATTTACAATTTAACTTCTTGACTTATATTTCGTCATCTTGCGCTGTTGAGTGATCTGAAAAATATAAATGTGTAATTTTAGATGGATGGATGTTTGTTTGAAGACGTTCGGAAATGCTCATCGGATTTCGATGAAATTTAACACACATTTATAATAAAGTCGGGACAAATACATAGGCTATTTATTCAGTTTTTCTTTTAATTCAACGCGGACGTATCATGGGCAGTTAGTGACAGTATAAATCTACGACTATAGACCGAAGACTTTATACTGAAAATGGCCATAACCATGATAAAATCTTTCTTCTTGTTCTTTCCTTTTTAAATTCAGCAAAAATGGGAAGAGAACTAATTCAATGAACGAACGACATTGTTCATCGAATAATACGCATAATATCGAGTATTATCCCAGTCTTCTGTTAATTTGTAGTATTTCATCGGTCGAGTTGTGTCATTTGGATATATTGATGGTTAGTGGACTCTGCTACTGTTAATTATTAAAAAAAAACTCACCTGATAGCACCAGTAATTATGCCCCATAAATTAGGCAATATATACGCCATGTAATTGTTATCCAAAATAAATGATAAAAATCCAGCAATTAGTTGTAAAAAATTAATAATCGCTGCCATTCCTAGCGATTTCGGTACCGATATTATGTAAGAGAATTTTCTTATTGCATGTGCAAATATTGCGTTCGTTATAATATCAGCGTAATTCTGAACTTGTATATCTCTATTGATACTTCGAAATCCTTCGTCATTCAAACTATTTAACGGTTTTTTACAAGCTTCTAAGAACGATAGTTGTATCGCAACGTATATAAATAAGACAAACTGCAAAAGAGAATTTGTTAGTTATATTTGACACATGAAATAAATATAACCTCAAAAAAATATCTAAATAACTTGGTTGATTTGATGTATTCAAACACAATATTATCAACTTACAGTAAAATTGTTCATTGTAATGTCTCTTTATCGTCTGCACAATAATTCGAAATGATTACAAAATTGTCAAAATGCTTAATTATCACCTCCTACAATTAACATAATTATAATTTTTTCTTGATACTTGATTAATATCAATTACGTAATTACATATAAATACTGATTTAGTAATTACTGGCTCTCGCCTGCGACTCCGTTCGCGTGAAATGAAAAAAAAAAGTTTGTTCCCGAATTTTTCTCACCTTTTAAACCTTCCCTAGTCCACCAAGAACATTTCAAGACCAAGATAAGATAAATCCGTTCAGCCAATCTCGAATTTTAGAGGGACTAACGAAAAATTTTCCCCGTTTTTGCAACATTTCTCACTGACGTTTCGCTCCTATTGGTCGCAGCGTAATGTTATATAGCCTTCCTCTATAAATGGACTATCCAACAAAAAAAGTAATTCCTGAGATTGGCGCATTTAAACAAACTCTTCCGCTTTATAATATTAGTATAGATTTAATAGTGAATTATTCAAGCCAATTACATCAAAGGCTGGCAACACATCTGCGGTTCCTCTGGTATTGCTGATGTCCATGGGCGTCGTTGAACACCTCGGTGTTCCCGTTGCTCGTTGGCAACCTTCTGCTATAAAAAAATAAAACTAAACTAAACTAGATATTGAGTTTTGTTGTTTGCAATAAAACATAAAAGTGTTAGGACACAATGAGATTTGAATGGCTTAAAATTTTTAAGTTTTATAAAAAAAGAACGAATCTTTAAAAAATATTTTTATTTCTTATTCTAATTATTTAATGGCAACACACATCAATTGTTACATCTAATAGTTATTTACTATGTATGTTTTGGTTTTTATTTGTACAAACAATTATTGTGACTATATCATCATCATCAGCTCACTATATGTCCCCACCGAGGGGCTCGGAGCCTACCCTAAGTTAAGGGTGGTTAGGTCATAGTCAACCACGCTGGCCAAGTGCGGGTTAGTTGACTTCACACATATCTTTGAATTTCTTCTCAGATATGTGCAGGTTGCATCACGATGTTTTCCTTTACCGTAACGTTGGATAAATGTACATATGTAAATCGGAAATGGAAAAATACATTGGTACATGGCGGGATTCGAACCCAGGACCTGCAGATTGCAAGTCAAGTGCTTGACCACTGAGCCACCGACGCTCCATCGGTTATATTCTTATTATTTATACGTTTAGGAATAATATAATACTTCTATATAATACAATATACTTTATAGGAATTATATTTTTAGTATACATTTATAAAGTACACAACTACAAGAATGTATAAAAAGCGCGTATAACATTATTTTATTCATCGTTTATAAAAATACATTGGTAAACTTTTTGAAAAACTATCGTATCGCTGTGTAGAATAAAAAATATTCTGATTAAAGAACGTATGCTAGTTTGGAAAAAACATGTCCTTTTCAAAAAGAAGAAATTATACTTATTATAATAGAAACAATAGAAAAACTAATAAAAATTCATTTATAAGAAAATATTCCTTCAATACAATGCGTGATTGTTCATTGAAATTAAAAAAAAAATGTAATCATTAAAAGTCAAACATTGTCACGTCCAGACAAGACATCATGTCTAAGATGATAGGAGTGTGTTAAAATGTTGTAATAAAATATTTTTATTTGATGAAATCGTATTGTACATTATTCTTTTTTTTTAATTTTATGACCTGGTAACATAGACCTTTAGGTCACATTTTTCTTTTAGAAATAAAATGTCAAAGAGTAGCAATCTTCCGCGACTTTGTCAGCGCAAAAAACTAGTGTATAATACGCCCGCAACAGCTACCTTCGCAGACGTGTTACGGAGATTACTCGGAACAAACGTAGACTTAGGGACAGCCATACAGACAGACGTAATTTAAAAAATTGGTTTTTCGTTACAGCTCTGCAAATATATTATGTGTACGAAATATTGATTTTTTTCAATATATTAGTTAAGTAATAAAATAAATCAATAAAAGGGCAAAAAATGATAGTAATAATTGACCTTTTTAGATTTCTAGTTTATCTTTGGAAGCGTTTTTTACATCGAAATGAGTTAAATTTTGGTCGTTTTGGCTGTTTTGTTTTTTATTTCTACTATCACATGGTCACTATAAATACGTGGTAATTAAATAACTATATTTTTTGTAATCATCAGATATTTGTCTTGTGAGATTTGATATTTTCTCTTCATTATTTAGTATTTCTTCCTTGATATTATGTTCTTCGATAGATTCTGTACGTCTTTCAGCCGGCTGGAGGACAAAACTGTTGATTTGTTGGTTGAGGATGCAGACGGAAAGCACCAGGAGCCACTGAAAAAAAAAAATATATTAATAATTAAAAAAGTTAAAATCTAGTAATGCTTGAGTTGGCACGTAGAGTAGTAGAGTACTGCTATTACCGACGTGCCAATCAAATGTAATCGAGTAAAAGTGAATTGCGACGTTTTTATCTCAATTTTGTCAAAGATTATGTGATTCATATGTCTAAAACATATAATAGAAGACGAAGAGATGTCTGTCTGTCTGAACATAGTCTGGAAGAACATATAGACTATTTATTAAGTTTTATTTTAGATCCGCACGGACGGAGTCGCAGGCGACAGTTAATATAAAGTATTTATTTAGTTACATACAAATATATGCTGGGATTTTATCCGTTTGCGTCCAAGTAGCCAGATAAAGAAAGAATGTGATGCTACTTTTACTCTTTCATGTCCTATTTTAAATCGTGTCTCGGAAGTTGTTAAAATAGATAAAACTTAACGATCTTTAAATATACATTAACTATACATTACTTGGAAACGAAATGTTAAGTGTTTTTTTTTTATTAATTATTACTGGAAGTCATCTTACTAATATTACGAATGTTTGGATGGATGTTTGTTTGTTTGAAGGTATCTCCAAAACGGCTGAACTGATCTTGATGAAATTTTTCATAGATGTAGATGATAGTCTGGAAGAACATATAGGCTACTAATTAAGTTTCTTTTTTAATACCGCGAGGACGGAGTCGCGGACCAAACCTAGTTTCTTGTGAATTCTATATAGGTAATTTCAAAGCCTTTGCTAGAATATGTTTCAAGGCAATAATAGAATATCGGGAATGGAACTTACGACCTAGGTCGACGCAAATTACAATACATAGAAATTCCAATTAGTTACACTCGAATAAAAAACAATGTAGTCACCTAAAAATTGCAGCGTAATATTTCTTAGCATTACTTGAAATAAATTGCGTTAATATAAATATATTTACTGTATTACAAATAATTAATAGATAGATGTAGTCTGGAACGTTCTAGAGTTGTATGCTTGTTTATGTCAAAATTATGTCAAAGGTCGTTGTAATTGAGGTTATGTTGAATAATGACAGTCTGTATTTGATATTATTCCATGTACTACTTGTGTAATAAATAGGAATATATGCATACACAAAAAATAAGCTTGTTGTATATTAATGGTTTGACAAAAAATACCCTATAGTTTTTATTTAGATCGTCTTGAAAGTAACAAGAAGAAAGATTGAAATAGGCTTTGAATGGTATTGTTAGAAAAAAGAATCTACCTGTTTATGGTACAAATTGAGCGAAAAGGACAAGGCAACGGATTTTTTTTTTAAAGAATGTGAATTTGTAAACGTTCTTTGTTTGCCACAATGATCTTCACAAGTTTCTAACCGTTACCATTTTACAGCAAAAAAGATAGTATTTAATTGTTTTTTTGTATGCGGAATGAAGATCAATTTTTGTTCTTCAATGTAATTCGTAACAAACGCGTGTGTCCCACTAAAGTTAATTTAAGCCTAAAACTGACACACGACTTATCGTCGACAAAATTAAATTAAATTGAAGGACATGACTAATACCCGTCGGATATTGTCCAACGCTTCATTTACTTTTTTATTGATACACTTTTAAAACAACAATATATTAAGCAAGTTTACTTTAACTTTTTAATTCGTTAACATTTTTTACTAAAAAGGGTCACACGTAATGCCTAATTTAAGGACATTAAAATAGATAGATTAAAACTTTTTCTACGTTTGAATAAATAACCTCAGTCACAATTAAGAAAAAAGAAAAATCTACAAAAATGATCAATGGTTCCAGATATCAAAGTCCAAAATTAAATTTAACCAACCTACATTATTAATTAAGAAAATTAAGAGGGTAATCAATAAGTTTTGTCTTCGATAGTAGTGTAAGGAGAATAAAATAATAAAAGTGAACAAAAAGGTTCGTTATAAATGCAATAAAAAATACTCACCAAGTTCCGTGCCATGCTGCCAGTATTATAAATGACAACTGTTTTATAATTGTTACTGGCCACTAATAAATAATCTACTCATGAGTTCATGACAAAAATGTCAGTTGTTTGGCGCTATTTTGTTGGCGCGGCGCGTGCGTTACTTGTGAGTGTAGTTTCGGGAATGAAAGTTTTATTTATGTGTTCTCAAAATCCGGTGGGCGCTTGGTATGTACAAACATAAACATCTTAATATGTTCATTGTTATTATTTATTGACTTTTAACAATTAGTACAGATTATAATTAGGTAGACGTTGAGCTAATGTTAAAATAACCTAAAAATAATCATCAATTGAACAATGTTAAATCTTTTAAAATTATTTCATATAAAAACTATATTATTTATCAAATAGATTGTTTGGGGGACCATATATTAACAATTACTTAATTAATACTAGTGGCCGATATTAACTGTTATACTAAATTATATTAACTTACTATCGTTTTATAATAATTATAAACTATTAACTATTTGTTAGGAAAAAAGCAAAGTATTAGTAACTTGACATTTGAAATATCATATTTGAACTAAAACATTGATAAAAAGACTGTTTTAAATGAACACCAATACGTGACATTTGTTACTAAACATGAAAAAATGGCGAATGTTTTCTTACAATGAATTAATGTAATAAACGAACCAAATTGCGTTTTTTTCCCAGTTCTAGGTCAAATAAGATTTATATTCAGCATCATTGTCTGTATATTTAGACTTGTTTGTTGTAGTCGTGATTAATTTTAGATTAAAAAATTGTGAACTAAATTAAACATTCACTTCCACTATTTATGAAATATGATGCTGGGTAATACGATCAAATTAATATATAACTAAATAACTAGCTAGCTAATTAGCTAACAAGACTTAATATTTCAATTGCTTTTTTTTTGACTGAGTGATCACTGTTTGCCTTGAAGAGGCATTTACAGCATCACTGGGCTTGAGGTGCCTGGGCGCATGTCGCTTAGCCTGAACCTCGTTTACGAGTAACAAGACTCTAGAGCTCTCTTAGGAGTCTTGGCTCGGGCTGTTACTTCGTTATTATTACCGGATTGGGTTCAATTGCTTTTTGCTTTTTTATACCTGACTTGACCCATGGCTTTACGAATCAATCTTAGGCTTACGTATTTTAAAACTATTAAAGTCAATAAACAACAAATCCTGTCATAACTGTCAACATCTATTCGGCCTTAACAAAATTACCAAGTATTTTATTTAAATAATCATGAATTAAAGACACAAAATTATGATACTACAGCGTCTGTTCTTAGCAATACTTTGTGCAATAAATGCACCAAAAAATCAACGGTGTATATTAAACACTAGGGTACATTTCGGCCAACCGTTACCTGTGATATTAAGAAATGGACAACTCTTAGAACCCACTGATAATGACGGGAACATAATTTTACAGTACGGGGAGACCATAACTTTAAGTTGTATCGATCAAGGCAGTATTCGCAATTCACATACGACCCAAGGACGAAATACAGCAACAATTAATTGCATCAACGATGATGTCTTTGGAAACGATGAATGGTTGAACTCTCCATCAAGATTCAGTGAATTCAAATGCACTAGTCCACCGTCCTACGTCAGTGATCGCACAAATCGAACCTGCTATGATGAAAACATAATATACGAAGTTGGCTACAAAATTGATAATGTTTTCTATCCAGTTTACGAGTCTTGTTTCAATGAAGTTGAATTGAACGCTATATATTCCAAATACACGCAAAAACCTTACAACGCATTATATCAAACAAGAGTCGAAAGACCATTTTTCATTGATAACAATGTGTACGGATATGTTTCGGTTAATTCGTTGTTCTCACCAGCGGGACAGAAGAGCGCTGTTGCCCAACTTGTTGGTGATAGAGTCAATACTTACCTGAATAAAACTGAATTCCTATCAAGAGGGCATCTTGCTGCTAAAACTGATTTCGCTTTAGCATTCGGGGAACGGGCAACATTTCATTACGTGAATTGTGCTCCACAGTGGGTCGGTTTTAACGGTGGCAACTGGAATACACTGGAAGTAGACTTGAGGAATCATATTCATAATGTTGGGTATAACACTATCATTTACACTGGCACTTTTGGTGTATCACAACTTGTCAATCAACATGGAACAGCAGTCGATGTATATCTTCATACTGATGTGAATAATAATCCAGTAATTCCTGTTCCGAAATATTATTACAAAGTTGTGTATGAACCGATTAGTAAGCGTGGAATAGCCTTCGTAGGTATAAATAATCCTCATTATACAAGACAGGAGGCACAGAATTTGTTCTTCTGTCCAGATTTATGCCGAGGAAATAATAATTTCTCTTGGCTCACGTGGCATCCAGATTTATCATCCGAAGGGTATACGTTTTGTTGTACTATTGATGATTTTCGACAAACTGTACGTCATCTACCAAAATTTGAAGTGAGTGGTCTTTTAACTTGATATTTGAAGACTGTAGGATCTATAGTCAACATTATGCTGGACTATGGCTCAAGAAAATATTAGAATTTCAAACAGTTTAGAAGATATTGAATGCAGGCGTAAGTATTATTGTTTTAGTTTCGTTAAAGTCGTAGCTTCATTATGTACTTTCACGTGGGAAATTATAAGCGAGTGAATCTGTGATATTTATATTAAACTCTATCATAACATTTTGTTAATTATTGAAATAATAATTAAGATTTTGCGAAAACTAATTTTAATTTTCAAGAATATTTCTTATGAACCAAATAAGTAAATTAATTAAACTTTGCAAAACCATTCAACAGATTACATTATTAAACGTAAGTTTAATTGACTTTTAATTATACATCATTTAATTATTTGATGTTATTAGTGTGAAGAAAAACAGCGTAATGCAACCAGCACATATCTGTGAAGAAATTTAAATACGTGTGAAGTCAACACGCACTGGGTCAGCGTGGTTGACTATGGCCTAGTCACACCTAACTCAGGGTAGGCTCCGAATCCCACAGTAGGGACTATAGTGAGCTGATGATGACTTAAACTTTGGTCACTGAAGTAATTTTGGTATCCAGTTTACGAATAAACATTTCTCTTTTCTTCGACAATTCCTAAGTCCATTGCATCAATGAATGAATATAATTCGAACTACTTTTCTATAAATATCAGTAAATACGATGTAGGTAAATAAAGGAATCTTACTTCTTACTTATAATATTAAATATAATGCAAATGTTTGGATGTATAGATGGATGGGTGTATAGATGGATGGGTGTATGTTTGTTTGTTTGAAGGTATCTTCACAACGGCTGTATGGATCTCGATGCAATTTAGCACAGATGTAGAACTTAGTCTGGAAGAAAACATGAGCTACTAATTAAGTTTTTTTAATACATTGCGGACGGAGTCACGGACGTGAGCTAGTGGTTTTTAAAGTTTCTAGTAACTCCATTGTATTTGTTTTCGGGTGAATGTACCCAGTGAGTGACATTATTATCGCCTCTTCAAATGGACTCGGCCTCATGACCCCACGCGGAAACAGCGATGTTATTACACATCAATTAATTTCTATATACTATATTATTTATCCTGTATTTATTATTTATCTTTTACTTACATAAACATGTAGATAATAGATATTGTCGTTCTTAAACTAAAGGTAGAAAAGCGTTGTTTACGAGAGGAATATAAACATTTTTAAATAAATATATTGTGCGGCTTGCTTGTTTCGGTTATTGTAGACAAAGGAAACTAGCACTTAATGCTTTTGATTATCAAATAATATCAGAGTTTTTGGCAAATCAAAAATCATAAAACAATAGGTGTTGGTTCATATGTTTATTGTAATTCAAGTCGTAATTTTTACTCATGAATAATAGAGTCCGGTGAAATAAATATTGAAGGACTAAAAAAGCTTTCATTCTGTTGTATACCGAAAAAGTTTTCCTTTGGTATTTTTAATTCGATATCACACTAGCCCTTGTCCATCATAACTTTATGCTTTATAAAAACAATCAAATTAATTGATTAAGATAAAATTGGACGATGTTTTTTTACGTTGTAGTTAGATAACACCGTCTTAAAGCTTAAATAACTTTATTTTACGGTTAAGTTCCACTTAAGTTGTAGTTAATCTTTAGTAAATATAACTTGTTCAGGCACCTGTTTGCAAATACTACGACATAGATTTGTTTATGTCAGGTCGTGGATAAAGTGTTCGATGTGTCGTGAGAAATATTAGTGTGTACTTATAGTCTTTTCTAGTAAGTGTCTAGATTACGGTCTTGTGAGTACGTTCATATATAATTATAATACTTAAATATTCTTCTAAGGATTTTGTGATTATTTATTAAATTTTAATGTTTATTTGACCCAGTAAAGAAAAGAATCTCTTACTGTGGATTTCCATGGTCGAAAAAAGCACATGAGGTAAACGTACAAGTATAATAATCGATACTATAGTGGCGAATTTGAAATTTCCTTCATATTCTTCCAGTGTTAGTTCTTCTAGATAGTTAGTGGTAAAGCCTTGATTGCCGCAACTTTTTGACTAGAGGGTATTTTGCTTATGAGGACTGTGGAGGAGGTCTGTGCCAGGATTCACTCCAGCCAGACCACCTCTCTGAATAAACTTAATAGTTATAAGATATGAAATTACTAGTTATCTATCCAAAACTATCAATTATTGGTACCTTTTCCTTATTTTCATTTCTTTCTTTGTCACAGAGTTTAATGACTTTTATACAAATGTTTTGGTAATGAAATTTCACTGATAAGATCAATGCGTTCGCGTAATGTTCAATGATATAATCCATTGCGTAACTACTTATACATAAATCTACGGTATTATAGTTAATTACATAATTATGTACATTAGTGAATCACGTGTTATGATTTAGTTATAGACGGATGGATTGTCTTCTCCCAACATTTATAAACTAAACGTCGCACAAGGACATCATTTTGTTATTGCTTGTTGCCTCATTGTACAAATGTGATATCAGAAATGAATCTGCTATTGGTGAGTGATGTTGTCAATTCCATTTTTTTTCACTTATTCCAATCAAATTTATAATTTATTAAAATTTATTTATTCAGTATTATAAATTATAGTTTCATTTACTTTGCGGCGTGCACAAGTGAAAGTTGTGTTTAAGATTAATTTTTATTATAAATAATTTTTAAATATTTAATTCAAATTTAGAATTTATTTTGGTTAAATTTATAACGATGTATGAAAAAGTAGCAATATTTTGTCGCGTTGTACAATTGTTATTGATATGTGAAAGTGATAAAAAGCAAACGCCGGGACATGATAAAGTATGTTAGATGAAAGCTCAATAAAAACGAGTGAATAATATTTAGTTTCTTGAAATTCTAATAACCTACAGTTAACTTGAATATTTTATATTTAGTAGTTTACTTTTCGCTGGTTAGCGTTCCAAGCATTGATTTATGTTTAGAAGTTTCTTTTTTTTCCTTCGATTTTTATTCGATTTTCAATTTCTAATTTTGCTAACGAAACTTAAGTAGTAAATTTCTACGGTTATTATTTTCTCATTTTTTAAAACGTTGCTGTGTTTAAAGTTTTTAACTTTTTGTTTATTTTGTAATCTGTATTATAATGCGTCTACGTTTTATTTTTATATTGTCTTACATTTCTTTTGTTCTTATCCATTGTTTATAAGTTTCAGTAGAGATTAATTTCTTATTTAATCTTTGATGTTTGTCTTTGTACTTGAACTTTATAAAAATATATTAGATAGATAAAATATAATAATATAATATCCGTTAGTATAACGATGTTTTAATGCTTCTTCGAAATTAAAATGTAGTCTTTCGCAAATTCAAGTTAACTCATCGCAAAAAGCCTTTTTAATAATCGACTTTGAAATTAAGAAACTATAAAGATACAAATGTGGAAATAAAAATAAGTTTATTCATTAAAAATAAGTTATGTTACTAATTCATCATCATCAGCTCACTATACGTCTCCACCGAGAGGCTCAGAGCCTACCCTAAGTTAAGGGTAGACTCCGAGCCCTTTAGAATAAATGTTACTTATTATTTAACACATATTAATTTTCAGATATTAATTGTGATGTCTCTGAGTGAGTCGATGACATCGACGGATGGAATAAGAGCAACTAGGCCTAAAATAATAGACTTCAAAATACAAAGAGATCCTGGTTTATTAAAATACAATTCATATTTCTTTGCCAAAGAACCTGAAACAACTACGACAGAGAAAAGAGTTGTATCTTTATTAGGTCGTAAAGTTAAAAGTAGAGACGCACATTTCGATATTTATCCAACGAAGAAATTCCGAACTCTACCTTATGAGTCGACTAATAAAGTGGTAAGAGAAATACATCTAAGACGTGCAAGTAATAGACGTGCTATTGTACAATTTAAAGGATACACATCTGTACCGCAAAGTGAGAAATTTATAATAAGAAGAAATGCATGTCATCATAACGAAATGTTAAAACAACGTGATTTAGTCCAGAATTATATAAAAAATAATGATTTCGGTGATGATATTGAAATAAATACTGATGTATCACCGATAGATACAGCTGAAATTAAATTATTCCTACCTAAAAATACTAAACATATAAATACACAGAGTTATAACGGTCACAAAACAAATCTTATTGGTAGACCTATTTATTTTAATCCGAATCCCCGAAGTGATAATTCCGCTGAAACGGAAGATCAGAAAGAATTTATATTTGTTAAGATTCCTCGTATCGATTATGAAAATGTCGATGATAAAAAAAGTAAGAAAACAATCAAGAAGAGTATCTTTAAACATTATAGACTGTTCAAAAGGTATGTATTTGTTTGTATATAAATTTACCATAAATAAAAATTTGTTGTTAATTTCATGTTTGATAATAACCAAATAAATAATTGCAAATCTTGTCTATAGGCGTATCTAATCACTAGGAGGAATATTCGGGGCAAAGATGGCTGCGCTTGCGGTCTGGTTGGTTTGTATTAATTATTAAGTCTTATAATAGATGGATTGTGATAAATCTTCTTATTCCTTATACTGCTGTTTAGTTATTCCAACTTGTTTCTATTGGTGTTGATCTTTTTTCTTTATTGGTGTTCTTTTGAGTGGACATTATCATTTTTTTGTCTACTTTTATCTCTCTACGTGTTAAGGGATTTTATTCTTGGTGGTGCAGAAATCATTCCAGGGATTTAAGTTCTTCCTGTACAAAATATTATCTAAATTTCTTATCTTAGATTCTGTGTCGCTTTTTAATTACTATTCTTACTTTTCAAGACATTAAGTGCTCTTTGAAAAGTGTTTATGTGGTTCTTTTTTTCTTTTGGGTCTTTCGTATCGATTTTTATTTTTTCAGCATGTATGCACTATTACTGATTTCTATTTGGCACGATTTTGGCACTCTAGCTTTTATATAGATGTTGGATTCTTTGTTATTTGAATTTATCTTGTTACAGAGATGTTATTGAAGAAGAACATCAAGTAACAACTGCTGCAAGCTTCAAACCGCCTGCCCTCGACTCTGAACTAACGAGTAGTTTAGTTTTCAATAATATTAACACCTAACAAAATATATCAGATTATTTGCTCAATAACTTAATAATATGTATATTTAACTTTTGTATAATAAACAGTTTTTTTTTTTAGAATAAAGTTATTTATTGTGTTCTCTACAAAAAAACTTATAATTACACACAACTACAATGTACATCCTTAGCCTAGATATAAGTAATGGCAAAAATAATTCTACACGATCTTTACAAAAAGCTATCTATACTCTGTTTCAAATTAAATCCTTAACTAGTAAACTCAAAACATAGGCATAGCAAACTGGAAGTCCGTGGCCAGAGATAGACGGAGGTGGAAAAAGTTGCTGCACCAAGTCAAGGCCCACAAAGCTGTAAAGCTAGAAGAAGAATTAAACTCAAAAACCTCACTTATTATAATATAGAAAAATTCTGATACATTTAACATTTTCATTGGAATTTTTTATATAATAAAAATTGTAAGGTACAGCGAATCTGTGTGTTTGTTTTCATGAATTTGGAGTATATTAAATTTAGTTTAATAAGTAAGGGTAGTATTTTTTACATAGTTTAGGTTTTGATTTGAAACAGTATGTATCTGTCTATCACACTAATGAGAATAAAGTATTGCATAAATAAATTGTAACCTAAAGGCAAGGTTGAGAGAACAGGACAGTTACCTTTTTAACGATTTGTTTTGAAAGTTTCGGGTAATTATATATAAGACGATGGACAACCACATAAACTTATAAAAAAGTGATCTTATTTCATTTAAATAAGTTACAATAGTGATTAATTTTACGGTACAGATTATCAAATATTTTTTACCACGATAAAGATATTTCTACTAAGGAGGTTGTCAATTACGCTCTTAATAATAAATCGGCGGGAATACAAAATAGTTTTAATATAATTTAAGGAAATGATGCAAAATATTGTGATCGTCCGTCTCTCAACATAGCTCCCGATTGTAGAATTAATAGATCGGTTGATAATTTACAAAATAAATATTTAAATTCATAAAATAGACCTGTAGTTTTTAAAAATTTATGATTTAATTAAATTTTAAATAGCTATTTATTTTATATTTTTTAAGGTCAAAAGCGACTATTTCTTTCAAAAAGTTTAAAAATTTCGTTCATAGAAAAGAGTTCTAAACGGTCTATCATTGTATTTAAATATTTACAGCGTAAAAGTGAAAGTATTTTCAGTAATAGATGGATATATTATTGGATTGTACTTGTAAATCTTTACGATTTTGACTCGAACTTGTATTACGCGTGTCCGCAACTGGACTTTATTTCTTAGTCAGTCTAAAAATATCGTTTAGCGGCGAGTAGGTCGTCCGAGATGGGATGGCGTTGTATGCAAACGAGGGTTGGGCGTCCGCACGAAGTATCACAACACCTGCAAAAATAATATAGCAAATTTACATAAATTTATAATCGAATTTGAAGTTATAAAATATTCAGGCGCGTTAGAAAAAAAGACGTGAGAATTTCTACTGCAACATTTTTTTACAGTGAACGTTGTATTCTCTTAGCATATTTTTTTAGATATTTGCTTAGGGTTGTTGCTCGATCAAAAATAATCGTTGATTACCTGATGGGTTCACCTTCACTTTGATCTTGGTCTGCGGGGACAGCACGCCGTAGTCCACGTCCTCGTACAAGTCCTGGTGACAGAATTACATTGAAATAAATTCATATTCATGACTCGGGCAGCAACAATTATGATTAATAGTCTGCGTAACTGCAACAATATCTTTATTAACTAGTGATTTGGTGAAGAGATTTTTGGTCAAATTCTTGCTCACTTATAATATTACCGTGCTGATGGGTAGATCAAATTTTCGTTAACCTCTAAGACAGGTCCATAAATATATGTCTTACCTCGAGCCTGTATCCCGCTGGGTTGTTGAGGCCGAGCTCGCGCAGAGTGACGGCGACGTCGGAGGGCGTCCCGTCAGTCCGACGGTTGAGGAAAGCCACCGCGTAAGAGTAATGCTGACCCTGGATAGGCACGATCGGCCGAGACCAGATCTCGATACCGCGATGCTGGGGAAATGTTATGAACAAGAATTGAGATAAATATTCGATAAACATTCAGCAAGAATACATGATAGATGACACCATATTTCAAACGTCATATAAAGAACAGAATAAAATAATCAAGAACAAAGAAAGTCAGTAGTACTCATAACATCATCATCATATCCAAGCCATATGGTCCATACAAACTGTTGCATTTGTTCGATCAAGCAATCCAAAATGTCAGCACTTTCACAAATAAGGCAAATATACTTGGGAATTGGTTTACCTTGTATATCCTCCTGCCTTGGATTCCAAGTGGGTCCTGGTCAACTTCTATAATCTTTCTGTTCTGCAGAATGGCTTTGTACTCGGGCCTGATGGTACGCAGGTCTACGCTCATGAGTAGCGGCGCTGCTAGAATCGCCCAGATCGCAAACTGAGTCTTACTTTGCTCGTACGATAGACCGAAGTTGCCTATGATTAGCTGCGAATTGAAATTATAGATGTTTATTGAACAGGTAGTAATGTAAGTTAATAAGGATAAGTTTGGAAGGTTGGTCAATTCCCTGTATTTATCTATGTCTCTTGCTTAGCGAAACAGTTTGACGATAAACATTTCAATGAGATATATTATACATACTCTTTCAACATTATCGTTATCCCTTCAGTCGGGCTATAAAACATTAAGTAAAATTACCATGTCAGGGTCGTTCCAGTGTCCGGGGCCAGCGTTCGGCACGATCACGTCCTGGTGGTTTCCGTAGTAGTCTATGATAGACTCGACGGACGCCCACGAGTCCTGGATGTCGTCGAAGTTACGCCACAGGTTGCAGTGCTCGATTATCGACGTGAAGTTGGGCTGGGAATTAGAAATAAAATTTTATTACTAAATAGTAATATTGATGGAATCTCTGCTGCATCGCTTATAAACTTGACAACTATAAAAATCCAATAGATGGGGCAGTTGATGTTGTCCACAAAAACCGTTAGATGGCGTTTTCGATTTCAAAAAGAATCACTAGATGGTGTTGTTTTCAAAAGAACTATATATGTCGTCATCACTACTTTTTCCCGCTTTACTTTGTAAAAGCATAGATAGAACTACGGAGTAAAGAGTGTGACCTGACCTGTATCCCGGCGTATATTTGGTAGACGGGCCAGCTGCAAGAATAGACCATCTGTCGGCCGGTGAGGTTGAGTTCGCGGCCAAACGCTGGGTAACCGTGGTCCATGTCCGCGGGCAGCGCATAGCATCCGTCCAACTTCACGTAGTCGACATCCCATGCCGCGAATGTAGCCGCATCTGAAGATAAAATATTACAGATTATAAACCATCTCTTATTATAATCCAGATTATCATTAGATTTCTGACTCTTAACTTTTTGTTAATCGTAGCTTATGATAATTTGCTATAATGTCTGTAATTATTATGGGAATGAATAGAGACGTCATTAAAAGTGTTAACTTTACAAGTCTTTGAAAACTGGACGAAAATCGACGAAATTGTAACATAAATCGTTCTCTCTACAACCTATTATTCATGTTTGCTCAGATGTTTGTAATGTAAAGTACAAAATACGTCACACAATAATCAAACAACACTTTCAAACGATTATATTACATACTTTTATTTTAGCGTTGTCATCTATATAATCTGTATTTTCGATGACTAAGAATAAATATTATTCAACATTACACCTTAACAGTTGCTCAACGTAGTTTTGCGCTAACCCCATTGAATAACGTAATGTTAAAAGTATTCCAAAATTGAAATTGCCCCATTAAATATTCGTACAGCATAAAAGGCAAATTACATACGTCTATTGATATTCTTACGGCCGTCACGGAAAGTGGATCAATTGCTACTCATCATACAAGTTGCATAACTCTCGCACGTGTCTAGTAACCATTGTGGTAACAAGTTAATTTAAAATCCTACTTACTACTTATTTACTTAAAACTTGGAAATAAATAAAACCTGTAAATGATTAGCAAATTAAAACAAAAATCTGATTAGCACCAGCTCCAACGGAAAAAACTTGTATATACTACTAACTTAGGGCAGTTTAATGATTACTTTAGACTTTGACATAAAAACTTAGCATGTCAATCGACAAGTTTATGAATCGTAATTGTTAACAACCTGACTACGAAATAATCGATGAGCAATCGTGTTAACGATACTTCCTTGACTCTATTTGTTATTGTAATCAAACATATTCACGCTATTTCCGTTCTACGGGTTAACAGAAGCACGGAAGAGATATAATGAATGTAGCGTAATATGTTACGTTGCAATTAAAATATATTTTATATGTTCAATAAGTTTTTATTGATATTACGCAAACTATGTTGTAAAATCTTAGATAATTTTATAACATAATAATATCGATTTATGCATTACAATTTAAGGTCGTGGCTTAGTTATTTAATACTAGCTATCGCCTGCGACTCCGTCCGCGTGGAATAAAAAAAACATAATTAGTGGGCTATGACTTCTTCCAGGATACGTTCGAGATCTATACCAAATTTAAGCGAGATCCGTTCAACCGGAGATAACTTGAAATAAACTGACTGATAATGTCATTTATTGTTTATGGATTTATCATAGACATTCAGTGTTTTGTGGATGCCGAACACGCCTTTAAAAAGTCTGTGGTTATAAAGGTAATTTTTTGATAGGTTTGGACTGGATGTCAATTTTTAAGTTTAAAAAATCTAAATGAAATTACAAAGAAAATCTTACCTCCGGCAAGATGGCCGACAACGCCCGGATATCCGGCGCATGTGAAGTTGCCATAGTCTTCGTATATCCCGAATTTCAGACCTTTGCTGTGAACCTGAAACCAATATATAAGATATAAATCACATACATTGAATTAAAAAAAACTATAATAAAATAAATATTTGTATATTAAATATATATAGGCTGGTTGGCTGCTCTATAGCAAAAGCTGTAATCTCCGCCTATCCTTCTAGGTTACAGACGTAGTGTATTTATTAAAAAAAAAGGGACTATGCATATAGAAGGTTTTTTCCACGCATCAATGTATTATCTGCTTAGCCTAAATATTTAACCTGGGTAAAAACAGTTTTATTCTTACTTATAACATACATCCGAAGGGGGGCTAAACAGATCTGGATGGAAGATAGATTACTAACTGAATAACGCACAGACTACTTAATAATGTTTTAATCTACGCGGACGAAGTCCCGGTCAAAAGCAATACGATAAATACATCCTGTTATCATAGTATGATAACTATGTATCTATATTACCTTGATGCTCTTGTACGATTGTTCATTTTTTGTTCGTAATTGCAAAAAAATTGGTACAATTATCTTTTGCCAGTTCGTAAAATTGTTACACCTATGATGATTACTAGTTATTACGTGTTAAAAACGTCTCCGGTTTTCGAGGGCAAATAGTTTACGTTAATTGTAAATTAGAGTACTCGAATTAAGAAAAAAAAAAACAATACAAAATCGGGTAATTGTCTGGGGCATACCCGAAATCATAGATTAAGTAACGTCAGACGAATTTGATCTTTGAGAGTATACGATGTCTATTGTTTGATAACCGGTTTTTTTTGCAAAGCGTAATAGATTAAAAATCTGATTGTTATCTATGATCAAAGGAATGCTATAAACTAGGGCTGCTATGTTACGTGTGAATACTAAGGTGACATAATTGATAGGTTACACAAACGACCGTGTTACCCAAATACGGTACACATAGAATCGACTTATGAGAAAAAAAAATGTTTTAACTTCGATTCAATAGACACGATACTTTAATGAACTCTGCCATTTTATTTCTGGGTTAACTATGAATCTTTATTCAGCAAAATGAACAAAATTGGTATATGTTCGGGTCTTTTTCAATCTATGAGTTATACTTTCAAAAAATCTTCAATTAATATTTTGTGGCAGCCCTAAAAGCAGCACAAACGCTCCCATTTCTTGCCCCAAGGTCATGTATTTCGTAAGCCAACGAACAAAAGTGAACTCGTGTGTATTTCAATGCTCATTCAGTAATAGGATTATACCTAAACTACAAGATTTTAACGTTGGTTTTATATATCCATACACATTGACAGCGCCATTCATTTATAATACATCGAACCTTATCATTAATATTTCCTTCCTTACTTTCATTGCGGAATACATTTTACATCTAGTCTCAAGACAGCTTAGTCGCATCATCATTATGGACATTAGTGTGGGTCTCCACAATCAATAAACTTTTTAATTTAACCTCCCAACTAGCGATATTGAGTTAATTTACAGTACACAAAGTTAACCTTTCTTAATATAATTTTATCAATACTAAGGTAAGAAATTTTCCACCTAATCTGTAACAGTGGTAAAAACGTTTGCAATTCAACGATGCGTACTATTCGCTCGTCGATTTACGTAACAAAATAATTGCTTACTTATTACAAGTAACTGGGACATTGAAAAACACGACTGACGTATTCCCATTTCATTATTGATGTACGTTAATGCTAGCGCTAGTTTCGCGCGGCGACGTGGGAAAACTGGTTATTACATCGCCATTTTGAAATCAAAATTCATATGACATTATAACCATCTTAATGCCTTCCACGGTTTTCTCTTTTTCTAATAAACAGGGCTTGACAAATCCAACTACGAACTAGAATTGTCAATCAAAAAAAATTAAAAAAGTGTCATAACTTACATTTCGTAAAGTAAAAATTCAGAGATTTAAGTTTGAGTAATTTTTATACAGCTAAATAAAATATTTCGCTATTGTTAGGAAGAAAATCCGACACTGTGTCGGTATACTGGCGCAACTAGCCTTACTAAAATGTCGACATTTCCCCTCACTAATCATTCTGACACTTGACTTGGTAATGAAAGCGCGCCATTCGCGCCATTCGCGCCAAAGGATTCTCATTAATAATGTCTAAAACTATCAAAAACTTTAACACACAATAACAATTGAAACAGATTCTTTAACTTGAACATATAAAAAAATATTTTTGTCGAAATGTTCATGTACAACCCTATTACGAATAAACGTCAAAGTCCTTCGTAATCCTTAACGTATTGACGACTTCCGGCGAAGGCAACTTGTTGCAACAACCGAAACCCATTCCCAGCTCATAAAGCGATTTAATGTTAGAACATATTTGCACATGAATATTTACGTTCAATATTTATGTTTTAACATCCGTTGATAAATTTAATCAAAAATTAAATACTTTAATATTTACATATTAAACTTTATGTAAAAGCACTAACTGTTTTATTTAGACTTGCCTTATTAAATCTAATGATATAGGATATTATTTTATAAGATTTAGAAAGTTAATTTTCCCGCACTCTAAAAATTGTTTAAAAGCTATGTAATTGAGTCAATATAATTTTATATTAGTGTTATATAATACTAGCTGCCGCTTAATTAGTAGCTTATGTGTTCCTCCAGATTATGTTCTACGTCTATGCCAAATTTCAATGAGAACCATACACCCGTTCTCGACATACTTTCAAACAAACATCCACCTATCCAGGCATTGGCATTATAATATTAGTATGATTAATTTCTTTTAGTCCTTTTGTAAAATAATAGCAGTCTTTCTTTTGCATAGACTAATATCAGTTACACATGAGAAACATAAAGCTGCCACCACAATAGGGCGAGTCGTTTCGCGATCTGTCGCAAACGGCAAGGCGAACGCGTGGGAACCGCACCCGACACCGCCTACGAAGGTCAACCGAGATATATAGATACCGGCTGTCAGTCTGTATTGTTGTTTGTTTATTGTTGAATAGTTCACATGAAGGGCCCTAGTGTGTCGACACTGTTACAAACGAGATCGCAATTCTTTTGCGTGGTTTGCTTGGAAATGTCATTAGTACATTTATGAATAGGCCTGTTGTGTTTAAACGTTTAAGGATTTAACTAACAACAACTCTATTGCGACGTCAGTCAAGCGCTGCTTCATTCGTTAATAAAAAAAGCTTAAAATAAACAGAAGGAGTGAATAGAGGGAGAGACTGAGAGAGAGAGAGACAGAGCATAGTTTGGTTTAGCTCTGTGAGCTAAATATTACGCATCAAAGAAACAAAACTAATTTTCTATCTTTGACTTCGCTTCGGTTACGTTTCGCTTTCGGAGCAGTATGCTTTAGCCCTTAGATTGGATATTTCTTAGTAATAATCAAAATTCAAAACTTCGTGAATATATTTATCAAATATTAATAAAAACATTACTTAATTTATCACTCCTACGTAGACATCCAATCGAATATAGTTACTACTATAGTGACCTCAATATAAGACGTATTATGTATATATGTTTGTATATAACTTACTTTAAAAGGTATAAGCTTTTATTAAGGTCATATATATATGTAATTTGCAACGGCATTAATTCGTGCAGGATATTGTTTTAGATTTGGAGGAAGTTGTGTTGTAATAATTTTATATTATGTATCCGGTAAATTGCTGAATCGATTAGTCGCGGAATCTACATCTTAAATCTCAATAAATAGTTTCCTATGTATAAATTTATAGAAATAAAAGGTAATAATATTTTAATCCTATGTGCGTATCTTGAAAATGTTGAAAAAGCTTTGTTCTGTTTTTATTTCTATATAGACTTTGGTTCTTATGAACATCTTAGCCCCATTGCAAACTAGAAAGTTTTTTTTTATTGTTCACATGTAAAGCGATATTATTAAAACCATATATTATATAAAATATATTTAATTCTATAACCCAATGGTATACAAAGAATTATGAAAAGTGTTGACCCCCCAGAGCTCTAAAAGGGGGGTCTAAATGGAATCCAAAGTCCGATGAATATGACACTACCAAGCATCAATATTCAAATTACATTTACTTTGATCTTGTATAAAAATGTATCAAAGTTTCTGTCAGTGTAAGAGACACCCACACTGCAGATTGAAGTACGTTAGTTTAATCGTTTGCTTAATCATGTACGAGCATGTGATCTGTGTAATGTGCACCTTCATAAATGCTCATATTGATTAAGTGCACGAACAAACTAAATGCGAATAAAAGTCTAGTGTGCGGGGATCTATATCTTCTATGCCGACATCGATACTGGGCGGTATTTTGTGACGGATTTAAATATGCGGATCTCTGACATGACACAATGAATATTAATGAACGATTGTTTAACTTCGCAGAAATACGTATGTTTTGAATTGTTTATAGCTTTAATAAGTATATTTTGATTCTATAGTATGTTTAGTTATCTTTAAGGTAGAGGAAAAAGGATATATATGGATTGTATGAAAGAGGATAAGACAGGAATGATTTAAGATATAGCTAATAGTGTATGGGAGAGTAGTTAAATATGCCGAATCTATGTAGGAAAAAGGGACAGATGATGTCCTTAATAGGACTGTAAAATCAAATTATCCGCGCTAACATTTCCATCTACTATGGACTATTTAGTCAGCATTACTTAGTTCAATTACCGAATCCAAATACTTTGATATTATAAAAGCTAATTATTATACTGACAATTTTTCATTCTAATGAAAGATTATGTTAAGTATGAGGTTACATATTATATCCCATTTTGACAATTGAATCATTATATCAAGGCTTAGAAAGGACGGAAACGTATCAATATACTTTGACGTTTCTAGGTCAAAAATTTTCAATCTACTTATTATTACGTAATCTTATTTTTGTAGCAGTAGGTCAAGTACAAGACAAGTATAAATGAACGCATGCTAATAACCGATATCATGCTGAGTGGAAAGTTGTGAAAACATCTTCGGCGATCTAAATTCAATTTCATAGTTGGAAATTGAAAGAATTCGAGGTGACTTTCGAA